TGCAGCTAGCTAAATACATGTGAGTGCGTATCCGAGTGTGAAAGTATGTGTGTGTGTGTGTGTGGTATGTGCATAGCTAGTTCCGTTTTGGGAACTGCCAAAGACAAACAATGGCAATGTCAGACAGTTTTTCCGGCATTTCCCTCGCTTTGCCATGCGCCGCACGTCGAGGGCAGCTCAAAGAAAAACGCCGACAAGATGCTGAAAAACTGAGCGAGGGTTGTGGGCGGTGTTTTGGGTAAATTGGAAAAAATACCCAAAAAAAAAATGACACACACAGACAGATACACACACACACAAATTTCTTGTTATTTGCCGTCTGACTGAGAAGAGGACGTGAAACGAGCCAACGCTAAGCCGAGTTGTTGTTCTTTGTCAATGTCGCGTGCGTGCCGCATTTGCCAGCGAAATAGGCAGAAACTACGGCCTAATGAATTGGCCTAAGTTTAAAATATATCATACACATACTTATATATATACTTATATAAATGTATATACCTACATATATAGAACATTCAGATCTGCAGTTATTTTGATTCACATAACATTTATAACAAATACTTATTTACATTTGCCTTATTCGGTTTCTCTTGGCTGACTTGATTCTGTTAGGTTGGCCACGCGCCAACAGAAAAAAAAAAAAAAACAAAGTATACGCCTCGAGGCACGCCCAGAGTTAACTGTAATTTCAGCGCAGAGTCACGCCCCAAGCCTGGCCACATTCAGTTAACAGCGAAGCTAATCCTATGCCACTCGCTCCGTTATTTAAATTTTGCTCTTCGTTTTCCATTTTCGTCAAAGTTGCTGCAACTTGACCCTAAAAACCTTTGCTTCACAGAATTCACGTCAAACTTCCAGCATAGTAGAGAGAAAATAAAATAACTAAGATAACATAAATAAAATGCGTTCGTAAAGGCTTCAGCTTAACTTCACTCATAGGCAACGTCCAAAAAAATGGACCATTTTGGGCGAAGAAGTGGCAAAGATAGCAAATGATAACGCTAACCACTGCAAATGCAAAAAGAGAAGTAGAAAAATTATAATAAATAAACATTGACGAATTGTTAAGCAAAAGAGAGAGAAACAAATTTTAACGTTTACGAACGTTTACTAAAGAAAAGAAAATGAACAAGAAACTTAAGCGAAAAAAATGGAAAGCAATCCACGTGCAGTTAAGGAGCTCAAAAATCAAATCATCATGAATGATTATATGTATAACGTTTACGAATGTAAAGCAAAGACAAAGAGGAATAAAGAAGCTTTCAAGTACAGAGCATAAAAGCTAAATAATGAAAAGTTGTTAAACGTTAACGAATGGAACACGAAGAGCAATGTAAACGTTTGCATGAGAAACATAAGTACATAGATCAATATCTATATATATTTATATAAATATATGAAACATGAAACTGAGCAATTATATAGTAGTTGAATGTCCCACAACAAATTGAGTGTATAATTAATTAATTAATTGATTGTCAAGATAAATCAATTACAATTGAGTGTATATAAAGTCAATATATGTATTTACACACACGCATACACATGACTGTATACATATATTTATGTTCAAATAACGTCAAAGTTCACTTGAGCTCATCTATAGCAAAGCATTTCATAGCGCAAATGTCGGAATAATTAAGCAGCAAATGAAAGGACAATATTCTTGCTCGCTTTGTAAATGAGTAAATCAAATCAAAACTAAGCAAAAACTTAAATAAATAACCAATAACGAAAAATATATTAAAATAATAACAAACAGAAAATCGAAGGCAGAAATTCCTCAGAAAATTTCCAGCACGAAAGCGTGCGAAAAAGTATCTTATTTTATTTTTGTATTTTTTTCACAATTCTTTTGTGGAGGCGTATGAAATATTTGCTTTCTGTTTACATACATGTATAGATATATATGTATTTTGAGTGCACAGGTTAAGCCAAAAATTTGGTTTGGATTGTTGTATAGGCACAAGGCAAATGCTTTTTGCCTTCACATTTAAATCGCACCTATCTAAATTTAGTTTCTAGTTCTAGTGAACGAGCGCTTCTTGTGCGACGGGCTAAATATGTGTAGAGCTATGCTTTATTTATATTAGTAACAAATTTCGGCAAGCTATTTGCCAAAGATCCTAAGATATAGGTCAGAAAAACTTTCAAAAATAATCAATGAAATTCATTCAAGGAACAGGCTCCTAACAACTCGCTAAATAAAATGCTTTGCTTTCATACCAACCCATTGAAAGTGGAAATTTAGACCGAAATGTTTTTCGAAAATTTATGTAACAGGCAGAAGGCTCTTGAAACAAAAAAAAAAATAGAATAGTATAGCTCAACATATGTATTAATAAAAGATGCGTGTAATGAAAAACACTTGTGCGCACAGGACAAGAGATCTCCTAGTCGAGCAGTCTCGACTATAACGCTCTTACTCATTCTTTATATATCGATACAGTTTATTTATTCTATAAAATATTACAATTAAATTGCTAATAACAAATACGTTTCATAAAACATTTAACAGTATTATATAGATTATTTCTTTACAACATTGTGTTATAAAGTTCCTTTGAAAGCAGTAAGAAATCGGAATATTTGTTCATTACATTTCTGGAGAAGATTGTATTCAAACGCTCACAGTATTAATAGAATTATTATGATAATTTTTTTGCCTTTTACTTTTCGCACATACACACACACACACACACACACACATGTATATGTATATATATTTTTTGTGGCTGCTATTTTTGGCTATTTCGTGCACAAATTCTGCTTTTCGTTGAAGCACAATGTGTTTAATATGCTTATAATTGGACTTGATTTATGTACGCAAGCTACTGCGCCGTGAAGGGCCCACACATAGGCCTTAGGGGTATTACGCAGACCTTAGACCTTCGCTTGCGGTCAGACGGCGTCAAAGTGAGATGAATAATTTCTGTTATGTTTTCATTTATGTTTGCATTTCGTAAGGGTGGGGGAGTGTGTTTGTGTGATCCCCATTCAACTAAATCAAAAAGCTTCTTGAGGCTAGCACAGTTTTTGTCAATCCGTATTATACAAATATATATTATTGTTACGGCAAGCTGTCAGCAAGTTAATAAGAGTCTTCCTAATGCCAATAAATCAATTTTGGTTTTTTTATATAATTCTGAAAGAATTTGTCGGTCACTTAGTTCGCTAAACTCTCAATTCAATATTTTTCCATTGGAACCCTTTTATTCATTCACCTATTAAATTCTTTTTAACAAGTTTTTTATTTCAAATTTTTCATAATTGTTTAAATACGTTTTAACGCTACAATAAGATAAAACGCTTTGTAGTTATATTTAATACATATACTTATTTTTTATATTTAAGCTATTTAAGTTTTCGATATATTAGACCGATAAGAATTTGTTGATAGTGTGTGGAGTATATAAAAACGGTGATTACTGATTTTGCTTGAGCTATTATATATAGTATTTTGTTTATTTTTCAATCAAAGAGTTTATAACAATTTATAATGATATGATTGTGCGATAAATATGCTAAACGTTTAGAATATATATTTTACCAACCAATTAAGTGAATGAATTTAATTACAGTTTATTTATTGCTAAGCAATCTATACGATTTGAAGTCGAGATTGTAATGACTTTTATCACTCCCAATAAGAAGTGTTATTAAGATGGTTTTTATGATTAAGAATGAAAGAGATCAGCAGTTCTGCTGGACAAGATTTAATACATTCATATTGACTTTTGTATATATTTAAATATACATATACAAGTGAAGCCATAAATTGAATTTACACAATAAACAGTTATCAAATTTCCTGGAAATCTTCCTGATTTAATTAAAAAGCAAAAAATCTTATTGACGTCAAGCGAAATACCCAACATAAAGCAAATGCAAATAAAAAAATCACAAACAAACAATGAACAATCTATATTCTAAATAGTTAGATAGGCAAGCGAATTCCAAAACTAAATGGAGAGCAAAAACAAAAAAGCAAAAATGAGGAAGACAGAGAAAAACAAAATATGGCCAAGACTTAAAAAGTTAAACAAATCAGGTAACGAAAAAAAGCTCTAAATAATCCATTAACAAAGTTTAACGGCCTTGGCAACAGAACAAAAAAGAATACAAAATAAGAACAAAAATTTTAACTTATACAAAATGTGGAATAAACAATAAAACGAAAACAGAAAAAAGCAAATCGAATTGAACTTTTTATAGGCGCTGGCAAAAGGCAAGGCAAAGAGACTGAAAATCAGAAATCAGATTAATAATTGCTGAGAGCAAATAAAACATAATTAAGACAAAGCAAACAGAAAAAAAAAACAACAACGTATACGCACAGAAGCGCAGAAAAGAAATCTAAAAGTAAACTATGAGCACCAACTACCTGTGCATCAACAATACCAACAACAACAGCATAGAGAGTAGAAGAGCGCGTTGAGAGAGCAGCAGGAAGACAAAATGTAGGAGAGAGCGAAACCGGTATCACAAACAAACAAACAAAGCGAACGAAGACAACACCAAATAACACGGCCATGCATGCATGCCTACATTGTCTCTGTGTGCGTAGCTTCGCATAAAAAACATGCACACACATATGAAGCAACGGCGAAAATGCAACAATGAGAAGAGACAAACGCAAAGGCTAAAGAAAATGTGCATGCTGACAGGTTCAAAAGCAAAACAGGAGACGAAAATGAACTGAAATGAAATGAAAAACGGGAGCTAAATTGTCGTCGCCGTCGGCGCGTGTTGCATGCAACAAGCTGCAGCAGCGTATTTTTACACATTAGCGCAAATATTTGAATCATTTTTAGTCTCGTCGGCGGCCGCATTTTGTGTTATTTGGCAAAAGTAAAAGCAAAAGCAAAACAAAAACAAACGCGCGCGCTCATTTACATCCACACCCACACACACACGTGAGAAAAGCACGAACGAAACGGTACTTTCATCATATGTGATTTCCCAACATATTATTATAATATATTTTTTGTATTACTCACCTTTCAACTGTAAACTGTTGCTTAATAGTTGTTTGCACCTTGCAACAAAATTATTTGTGTTTATGCTGAAATATTTGATTACACATATACATTTATATATGTGTGTGTTTTTAACTAGATTGCGGAATGGGCTAAGTAACAACAACATATAAAATCACAAACACATGCTCGGTCACACACACTCGCACACATACGCCAATGCACACGCACGCCTACACCAACGGTTTTAACAGCACTTGTGTGCACTTTGTGCTTCTTTTTTGTGGACTTTCGGAATGGCGCTTAGATTTTCGATTTCTGTGTATGCGGGCACTGTTGTTGTTGTGGTTATTAAACAATAGCTAATTGTTTTTGTTATTAGCGCGGAATTCGTTATAGAAATGCGTTATATTTGCAATTGTATGTAATTTCTTACATATGCGTAACGGTTAATTGCTTTTGTAGCTAATCATCATCAATAATTTTATGTTGATTATTTAAAAAATTATTTGACACTTAATTATTATTTACGAACACACAAACAACGTAGCGAAAATACCAGCAGCGAACGAAGCGACGCAGTGACGCGACGATACGCACGGACAAGAGAATTATTACTGGCGGAAAACACTGTTAACTTTTCTTATAAGAGCGCGTCAATAACAGCATAGATATGGACGCGTGTGCCAACATGACACGAAGTTGTCCCATGCAACATCAATATTTTAGTATAAAATCTACAATTTTGGGTCTAAATTAGAGAAAATTATTTATATTAAAGTTTTGACAGTGGACTAAATACTAATCTAATCTAAGAAAAAATGTATAATAGAAAAATTTAATTATTAACTATTCGCGTATAGCTGTTCCATCGTGAGTTTACGTCCGTCACGCGTGCATCACACAAGCACAGTCTGTTAAATCTAATTCTGTTATTTAACATCACTGTTCCAGATAGAGATGCGCACTTGACGTAAATTTAAGTGTGTATGACTTTTTAGCTTTATTTTCAGGATTTGCAGCATAAACATACAAATGTAATTGACCCTAAAGTTTTTATATTTTTAAAGCATAAGTAAACAGAACTGGTTCGAAAAACAAACAACCTTTAGCATTAAGTCTTATAATATGTCCAACTACATCGGCCAAGACTCATTCTAAGCAATTATTGTATTAAAACGAGCTGCAGTCAAGCAACTTTGGGGGCAGTGCTGTTCAGATGTTATGTTAACATGTAAATAACAGTGTTGAGTAACATCTCCAAGAGAGCAACAGTTGAGTTCGGAGTTTTTTAGCTAGAACCTTAAAGAGAAACCAAAGGCTTAGCCGTTTTTAGCTGGCATTTCTATATTATAATAATATAAGTTTGTAGAACACATTTTATTTATTCTGACGCCTTGTATAGGAATAAATCTGCATTTTCAACATAAGTTTCTCTTCTCTGGTTGCAAATGCATGCTCCACCGCCTCCATTGTCAGCGCGATGCACTGACTCCTAGTCAACCCAAAGGATTCCGTTGCCAAGAAGAACTCATCCGTTAATGTCGTATCGAATACGCCGCTGTCATCAGTACAAAGAACTTTAGGCGCGTCTGCTTCCATTAACTGCTTGAGATGATGGACCCCAATGTTGGCTACAGTTCCGGACTTAACGTTGCTCGTCAAACAACATTCGATGGGTATATTTTCCTCCTTCATATACTCAAAGCCAGAGGCAGATAAATATGTGCCGTGACCACAGCGCGACATCCCAAAGCGAAGCATCTCTCTAATCTCCAAAGGATTATCCACTTCCGCACAGTGCATTGCCAGCTTCAGGCCATGGTTTCGAGCCTTATTTAATACGGGCATAAAGTCCTTGAATTTGCCCTGATTTGGATTACCGCTAAAATCAATACCAACTATAATATCTGGTTCTATTGCGGATAGTTCCACAGCTAAGGCGACAGTTTCCTCAGCCACGTCCACCGGCTCGGCACGATTTATGGACGGCAGCAGTTTCACCTTTATATTATACAGATCGCTGGTCTTCCTAATAACACCCAGCACGGTGTCCAGATAAGAACGTCTGGACATATTTTCATTAGACTTTGGCGTGGTGCGCAGCTCCACGTATATGACATTATCCTTGGCAAAATCACGTATGACCAATTCGGTAGCACTCTCCAGACCCTCTTTGGTTGCTGTCAGCTCATGCATGAGGCCAAATTTTTCGAAGCACTCGTCTAATTTGGCGCCCTTCTCGAATTTGATGAAACGCTCGCATAATGCGGAAAATTCTTTCGTCTGCACGCCGTAAACTTTCGCAGCTAACTCGCGGATGCTACCAATATTCAAGCTGCCATTTAGATGGGCATGCAATTCGATTTTGGGCATGCCTCGTAGGAACTGAAGCATTTTGTATAATTTAATTCATTTAAGAGTTTTAATTTATTATGATCTGTTTATATATGTCATTTGCTTTGTTTATATTTTTACAGTATGCTGCAGCCCTGGTTTTGTCAGCTGTTATTTATCACCAGACATAACTTTAACATTGGCATGTTATTAACATATATGGGGCTTGTCAAATATTCAAAAGAAAATTAAACTAATCTGACTTAATATAACATTCTGGCATATAATTTGCGAATTTCCCGTAATTTTTTGTTACATTCTTGTAAATATTTTAGCTATAGACTTTTGATCAATTGAACACAGTGATTCTGTTAATTAACAGCTGATAACAGTCCTATAGTTTAACAATCGATATATGTGTACAATAATCGTTTATATAGCAGAAAGAAAAATACATCAATATTACAAAAACTTATTCTAAAGCTACATAAACGGAAATTAATTAATTTCCTTCCATGTCCGATGCACATTTGGAAGCACCGCCTTCGGTGCGCCTCACAAACGATGATTTTCGTAAGCTGCTGGCCACGCCGCGTGCCCCGCCACCTGGTTCCTCGAGCAGCAGCGCAGGCAGCGGTTACCTTGCCAGCGCCCAGTTTGCCACGCCCACTGCAGTCGGTGAAAAGAAGAAGAGTCAAAGCAGTAGCGAACGCAATGATCTGCGCCGCAAAAAGAAGAACTTCTATGCAGCACTCAAAAAGCAGGAGGATGTCAAGCTGCAGGAGCTGTCGGAAAAGTACAGAGATCGTGCACGCGAGCGTCGAGACAATGCCAATCCGGATTATCAGAATGCCAGTACGCCCGGTCATGGCAGCAGCACAAATGCCTATCGAGCCGTAGCGCCAGATATGAAATCCGGCGTAGATGCAGCGGAGCGCAGACGTCGCATCATACAGGAGTCCAAGTTCTTGGGCGGTGACATGAAGCATACTCATTTGGTGAAGGGTCTCGATTATGCCCTGCTGCAGAAGGTGCGCTCCGAGCTGCACTGCAAGGAGGCTGAAGAGGAGGAACTAGCAGCTGCCTTGGCGCGTGAAAAGCTGGCGGAAGCAGCAGCTGCTGCAGAGCAACTGGAGGCAGAACGTCGGGAAGCGGAGGATATAAATGCCATCAATGGTGCCATGGCTCGCAACATATATAACCTCATACAGGCGCGACGCTCCAAGGAGGTGCCCCGCAATGAGCTGTTTGCGCCCGGGCGCATGGCCTATGTGATTGACATGGAGGATGAAATGGACATGGACATACCGACAACGCTGAAGCGCTCAAAGTATGAGGTTCCTGTGGCACGTGAGGACATTGCCACGCTGACCACCAACGATATTGTTATCAATAAGTTGTCACAGATTCTGAGCTATCTGCGAGCCGGTGGACGCAATAAGAAGAACAAGAAACGAGACAAGGATAAGCCACTGTTCTATGAGAAGGAAGTGGAGCATGTGCGCAGCAGCAACAACCACAGCGGCGCCACAGCTGGCGCTGGCGGCGGTTTAATGCCGAACACTAGCAGTGGCAACAAATCCGCGAAAACTCTTGGCGATAGCATCTATGATGATGTGGGCGATTATCAACCCTCAAACTCTCGCAGTGATCGCCATCAGCCGAAGCCTGCCACGACTCAATCCTACTTTGGTGACGCCCCCGCTGAGCCGGAGCCGGTAATAACAAATATACCGCCGCCTCCAAAGATATCCAAAGCGATGGCATCACGTTTTGCCAATGAGCCAGAGGGCTATGCCGAATGCTATCCGGGTCTGGAAGAGATGAATGATGCCATTGATGATTCAGATGATGAGGTGGACTACACCAAAATGGACTTGGGTAACAAGAAGGGACCGATCGGTCGCTGGGACTTCGATACGCAGGAGGAGTACTCGGACTATATGAGCACGAAGGAAGCGCTGCCTAAGGCAGCCTTCCAATACGGAGTCAAGATGCAAGACGGTCGCAAGACGCGCAAAAACAAAACCGAGAAGAACGAAAAAGCCGAACTCGATCGGGAGTGGCAAAAGATTCAGGTGCGCTTTTACCTAATATAAGAAGAATCCAGTTACCACTTTTCATATACATCTTTTTTACAGGGCATCATACAGAAACGCAAGCTGCCCAGGGACGGAGGTGGCAGTGGAGGCGGTGGCGGCGATGAACCCGACTACAAATCAGCTAAATACTAAAATTCACAATGGATCAACTCTTTAAATTAGTTCAGAGTGGAGTTGATTTAAGGATTTACATAAAAACATAAGAAGGTTCTTTTTAAATTACTAGAATTACGATCATTACAGTAATATATTGTCATATATCTACATAGACTTTGTTTAAGTTAATTTCAAAATATATCTAAACTGTTTTGGATATTCATTTATTTTGCAATTCAAGAAATATCAAATAAAAGAGATGTAAAAATTTTAAATTTGTTGTGTTTATTGTTCAAGTAGCAAATATTATTTTGAAATTTATTTTTGATTGAAATGATTGAAATAAAATGAATAATTTTGGATTGAATCTAAAATGAATCATTTTAGATTCAATAAAAAATGAATCACTTTGGATTGAATCTAAAATGAATCATTTTGGATTCTAAAAAATGAATCACTTTAGATTGAATCTAAAATGAATCATTTTGGATTCAATCAAAAATGAAGCGTTTTTGTTTGAGTCTTAAATGAATCATTTTTAAATAGTTAAAAAAATGCAATTCCAAATTATCAAATTATCAGGAACAATTTAATTTTTAGTTATGAATTTAAAAAAAAAGAACAATTTGTAACCAAAATAAAAGTTGATTTTTAAATGAATTAAAAATTAATTGTTTTTAAATGAGTTAGAAATTATAAATTTTTAATTAATTCAAAGCGTATTCATTCTGATAAGAAATTATTTAATTTTAAATACTTTAAAAGGAATCGGTTTCTAAATGAATCATTAATGATTCAAATTATTCACAAGTGAATAAGTTAATTTTATTAAATGAATCATTAATGAGTTCATTTTATATGATAAAAGCTTGTGCATTTTTATGTATAATTAGTCACGTTTCGAATGGAGATAAAAACGCATTTATTTTAATATATTTTAAACATTATGAACTATTTATTATAATTGTTGTAAAACATTAATATACGTATGTATGTAGGTGTACATGTATAATTCTTATTTGCTCACACAAATACATAAATGTATATAGATATATATATAGTGTTTATATATATGTATATAAACTAAATATTTTTTAGCCACTTTATCACTATGCTTATATATTTTTCGATATTTCTGTCGTGCCTTAGAAATGTGCCTAATCTTTGAGCTTCTACTGGGGAGAGAAAGGCTGAGGAAATATGGTACGCTAGTCGGGGCAGACTTGTTCGGAGTGTATACTATATAGATATACATGCATATATATATATCGATCTAAAAATCAACTGCAGTTAATAGCGTGACGAGTTTTTAACCAAGCTAAGTTTAATTCCTGCTTTGTAGCTATGTCTAAGTGCGTGTGCTCTCTAAAAGATTAGCATCCTTAAATGTGCTTAGATACAATATGTATATGTATATGTATAGGTATATATATATATATGACACTCAGATTCCGATTTGCAATTGAATAAGCCATTAACACACACACTATATGATCCATGCTCGGGAATGCTAATATATATACTCATATGTCTGTACTTATTGTATATGGTATATCTTACATATATATATATATATATATATATATATATATATATATATATATATATATATATATATATATATATATATATATATATATATATATATATATGTGTGAGTGTACACCTCTTCTTATCTTATCTACTTATTGTTTAACATATGCTTAAAGGAAATGAACAAAATTGAATTAAATATAAAATCTACGTTAATTGCATTTTAAAAAATTCGGCAACGCCGCAATTCAAGATACCCTTCGCATTGTTCATAGTGCTCATAATACCCTATAAATTATTGCACATTTAACATACTGAGAATTTATCTCTTTGTTCAATCGAATCCTATGTCTGATCACACTTTTCGATTTTTGAATATGTATCTCATGCAATCTCTTCCAATTTTCATCTCGTATTTTTTAGACACTTTGATTTTATGTAAGTTTTAAAAACAGTTAAAATTTCTTCAGCAATGGGTATACATTAATATTTTTGGGTCTTCTAAAACACTAGACAGCACTCATGTCTTTTTCCGCTAGTTTTTACTGTACAATAATCGATATATGCAATGCGAAGGGCGTAGCCTTTGTTTTATTACTTTGCTTGCTCTATTTTCTGGTTTATAAACATAATTCTTTGGTTTTCTTTTAATTTGAAATTGTCTATTGCTACATATTTGAGTTGCTCTGACGGTTTAGCTTAAGTTGTTACTCTGGCGGGTTGGGTGAGGAAGTTCCTTGTGTGCTGACAATAAATACAGTTCCCTAGCGTAAAGCTGAACATGCCCCAAAACATTATGAAAATTACAAAAAAGTAGAGACTTAACAACTAAACACGAGTCAAAAGTTGTGTGCGAACAAAGTGAGTGTGTGAGTGTGTGTGTGTGAGTTGCCCTTAGCCCAGTCCACAGGGTATCCATAGATCTGCCTCGGATTCAGACAGTGAATGTACATAATTGCCGCTGCCGTCGCCTCTGCTGCCTGCTGGTCGGTCCTCAATCACGCCAGTTATGGGTTAAGGAAAGCCTGCGACGCTCCACCAATTTGATGTCCTTGACACATAGATCATGCTTGGAATTGCTGGCAAACCGTATTACCGATTGTGTGCTCACCTGCGGCACATGCCGCAAGTCCAGCCAGATAAGACTCTCGCACTTCGAGAGATGCTCCAGCGAGTTTTCCGATACCAGACGACAGGCGCTCAAATTAAGTTCTGCCAGGCGTCCAATGGCCGTGGGCGAGGTGCCAATCTGTGCCACACCTGCGTCGGTAATGCGCTGGCACGAGGAGAGATCCAAATGTTTTAAATGTGGCAACGATTGCATTATATAGCGCACAGCCACGTCCGAAATGTCTGTGCCGGCTAGCTTCAGGGTTTTGAGATCGCGTAGCCGCGTCTTTGAATCACTTAGACCCGGACGCGAGTCCTTAGGTGGCGACAGTATATCCCTGATGGCCGCATCATTCAAGCCGCGCACAAAACTCAAGTCGAGTATTTGCAACGGCGGGCAGAGGCAGGTGTGCAGCGCCAGCACCGCCTGGATGGGACAATTCTGCAAGGAGAGATTCTTAAGAGCGGGCAGGCGAGCCACCAACCAGGCCAGTTGTCGCTTGGCCAGCTGCGTCCAGTCCAAGATCAAATGCTCCGGTTGCCGGCGCACAATGGCCGTTAACAGGGAGGCGGATATTTTAAGCTCAGCGCAATTCATGCGCTTCCAGAGATCAGGATCGACAGCGGCATTTGACCATGCCTTGCACACCGAGCAACACGTGACGAGCGTCTCGGGCGACAGATAACGGAATATTATCTTAAGTACAGTAGGATCCAGGGCCAAATTGTGTGCGCTGCTACTGCTATGACTGTGACTGTGGCTATGGCTATGGCTGTGGCTGTGGCTGTGGCTGTGGCTATGACTGTGACTGTGACTGTGACTGTTGCCACCAGCATGATGCGTGTGATGATGGCTGTGTCCATTGGCACCATTGCTGTTCACAGATGTTCCACCAGCACCGCAAGCTCCACTACTGATAGTGCCAACTGAGCCCGCTGCACCACTTGTGCCGGCGCCATTGTTGAGCCCATTGCTGGTGCCGTTGCTCAAACCAGAACTGGCCAGCGTAGAGCTGGATGTGGGTGCAGGACGCACCACATACTGGGGCTTCTTCAACACCCGCGACGACGAGTTGAGCATCTGTTGCGCCAGCTGTGAGCGTATGGAGTTCTTTTTGCGTGAACCGCCGCCACTTCCATGTCCACTTGATGCGGCACCAGTGCCAGCTCCACCTGTAGCATCCATGGAACTGGAGCAGGGCGCATCGTTGCTCTCGTGCATGCTGCTGCTGACGCTGGTGCCATCGTCGCTCTTGCGCCGCTTCACTTTCTCGCCAAGCAATTGCGACGCATTTGGCGATATTCCCGGAGAGGGCGTGTCACAGCTATTGTTGCGTTCCGTCTTCACCTCCAGCTGATGATGGCGCTTGAGGCCGTGCTTCCAGTGGGTCGTATGCATGCCACTCGACTCCATTTCCGATTCGCTGGTAAACACAAAATCATTGTATTGACCAACGGGCGGCGGCAAAATGTTACCGGCGCCAGCACCTCCAGCTCCCTCCTGACCCTCGGTCGCACTGTTGCCATGAGAAACGGAAACGCGTCGCACCTCCGATGACTTTTGACGTGCCCGAAAATGTCGCGGCTGCAATTGTAAGTTAAAAAAAAAAAAACAATTAATTAGCAAACACAGCGTCACTTTCCGTAAAGCCAATGGATGGGTCACAGAGTAATCTGTGTTTATTTTATTAGGCAGTTAAGTGATGTTAGACTGCTGTAATTATCTTGTTTATTTAATCCGTTAGTATATAATTTTAGCAGTTAGCAGGCTGTTCAGCGTTAAACCATACAAATAACATGCCGATTTCTGTTAAGCAGTTGATTGCTTTCAGAATGCTGGTTCAACATACTAATGTTATGTTAAACAGTTGAATGCTTTAAAAATGTTACCTCAACATACTGTTATGTTAAACAGTTGAATGCTTTAAAAATGTTACCTCACATACTAATGTTATGTTAAACAGTTGAATGCTTTAAAAATGTTACCTCAACATACTAATTTTATGTTAAACAGTTGATGCTTATAAATGTTACCTCAACATACTAATGTTATGTTAAGCAATTGAATGCTCTAAAAATGATGCCTTAACTTACTAATGTTATGATAAGCAGTTGAAGACCCTAAAACTCACAGGATTTGCAGTTGAGCTTCAATTATGTTATAAATATTTAAATATATTTATAAAATGTGAATTAGCTACCAACATAAATCTAATATGAACCCGCAATCTGTTATTTTAATTTGCAACCAATGTTAATGAAATAATTGATATATAACAATAGAAATAAGTTCAGCTACTCACCTTGTAATCGTAATTCTTGCCAGAGCGACAGCAACTGGGGCACTCCCAGCTATTGGGCAGATCCTCATTGACAATGCCCTTGGCATCGGCCGCATCGTCGGTGCCATCCAGCTGGGATAACGCACAGTCCGGATGAGCGATTTCATAGCAAACGGAACACTCCATCAGGGCCGAAGGACCCTCCAGCGAAGCCAGCTGCTTAGTTTGGGGCGACACTGGCGTCTGCCGCCAGCCATCCAGGTGACAATAGACACACTGCGCTGTCACTGGCAGCATGGGCGACAGGCACTGCCGCATCATGCATGTCTGTTTGGCCCGTCCAGGACCGCCGAACTTGACCATGTCCATGCAGAAGGGACAGGTGCCGCAATCGGAGCGCTGACAAGCGGCGCAGTTCTTGCAGCGCGTGCGCCGTCGTCTCGGCTGTCCGGTGCCCGTCAAATGTGGCGACAGCTTGGCGCCCGCCTCACCCGGCGACGGGCAGTTGTCCAGCGTTGCAGCCATGCCGCCATCCACATAGCTGGAGCAGGTGGCTACGACGCTGACGGCATTATTATTACTGCCCACATTTGTGGGACTGTTGCTATGGACTTGGCTGTTGTTGTTGTGGCTACTGTTGCTGGCAGCAGCGGCCACAGCATTGGCCAAATGCATCTTCTTAGGGGGTCGATACTTCAGCGTGTCCGTGGGCAGCACAAAGGTAGCTTCTGCAAATCAATTTGCAAGGATTAAGTATGTGAATTAATAAGTTAGCCCTTAGACTACATCTGAAAGTTTCAGAAGCGGAAGGGTTTAAATATTTAAGACAACAAACGAATAGTTTAAAATAAATTGATCTTCCACATTAGGATACACACCTTGTTGCGTGCCATGTCCTGTGGATGAGCCATTCTCCAGCTGCTCCTTCTTCAGCACTCCGTTGCTGTACTCTACGCCCTGGCTGCTGTAGCTATTGTTATTGTTGTTGCCGCTGGAGGAGTTGTTGCTGCTGTTGCAGCCATTGCTCGAGCTGTTGTGTCCGCCCTGGCCAGCCTCTGACTCAGCCTCCCTGGCCGCCTCCAGCTGCTGTTGTTCGCGTATGACCTCCGCATTTTTGCGTGCAATCTCCTGTTTGATCTCCTGCTTGACGCGAGTGCGATCGTACAGCTGAAAGAGTGTCTGATGCTCGGTGGCGGGCCGTAAGACAGACATGCCCGTCACAGCCATATCCTGTTGGTCCTTGCAATGTCGCTCGACCAGCGTGCGCACATCCTTGATGAGTGCAACCGGATCCAAGACAAGACTGGGCACATTCTTCTTCTGAGGCGGCAGATCGTACAAATACATGACAATCTCCTTGAGCCCAAAGAGCTCGTAGTGGGTAAGATGGGTGTGTGGGCGGGCGGACATTTCGATCTCACTGGCCGACGGCTCGCCCTCCAGATGAGAGTGGCCGAGCAGTGTGTAGACATAGCGTGCTAGGACATACCACAACATTTCGGTGAAAAATGGATAACGAAACTTTTGTGGCACCTTCGTGTTATCCTCCACGCTGGCCGTCTTCAGCTGCTTGACAATGCCAAAGGAGTGCAAAAAATTGCCACCGAAGACCAGAGATTGGGTAGGCGTATAGACTGCATGTATCCAGCCGGTGGGTATAAAGAACGTATTGCCAGCTGTAAGATAGACGCGTGCACACTTCTCGACCGTGTCGCCAAAGAATATATCCGCCTGTTTGCCTGACAGGACCCATTTCTCATACAGCTGCAAGTTGCGATCGGTGGGTGGGATTAGCCAGAACACTTTGCTGCCCTTCAATATGTGATACCAAACAGAGGTGCCGCCAAAGTCAATGTGGAAATCTGTATAGCAGTTCTTAACGGACATCAGGCAATACTTTTGCACTTTGGGATACATCATGCCGCCCAACAGATTGGTGCCTTCTTTTTGTGCATCTTTCAGTTGTTTGGGCCATACCACATCCACCCAGTCGATCTGTCGCACAATCTCTGGACTCTGGACAAAATGATCGAGTCGGGTATGTGAGAATTCCAAGGATATAACATTTAGCAGTCGATCCTTTTGCGGATTATCATAGTATTGCTGCCACTCCTTCATCGTCATCTGCAGATTCTTCTGCGTATTGACATCCATTACGTCCAGCAGGCGCCGCGAGCCCACGCACAGACGGACATCGTTCACTGTGAACTCTTGGGCATCGGGCATGCGCAGCCCCAAACCGTTTTTCTCCCTGAACAGCAAAGGTATATTGAAACCATGTTGCTGCAGGAAACTAAAAGAGGATCGATAAAAATATCAACAATGTTAGCCACAGTATCGAGAAAACTTATCTTAAACTAATTCAGTTCAGTTTTAAATAATTTATTTTCAGAATATTATTGGAAATTCCCATAGCACAAAGCTTACGAGAACTTGTTACATTTTACTGAATCTGAAAAAGCTTAAAGTCCAAATGAAAGGCGACTAAGCAGGACACTTTGCAATAAATATTGGAACTATTTCCGATCGACGTAAAATGGTGAATTTGTACTTACGAAACTGTGAGGTCGCAACCACGCATCTCCCGTACCATACCGGCCTGCGCGAACTTGGATGATTCGAGCTTTTCGGCAACACTGAAGCCTCGCGCGCCTTCAGCGTCATCATCACCTAGTAAACATTCCTCAAGGTAAAGTTTGCGCTGCTTGCGCTCGCGCTGTTGTGGAAGAGAAAGAGAGAACGGAACACATTAATAAATGGCTAACCGGGAGTCGGAACACCGAGTAAATGCCTAAAAATATACACAGAGGGCGGCGTCAACGCTGTGGCCTGTTCCTCAGCTGACGTCGCTTTAGCTAACGCAGTCACTGCTGCTACTGATGCCATCAAATGAATCACAGTTGCTCTATACACCACATTATCGGCCGTTCACTCTATTCACCACAGCAAGCTCTCTCTCATTTTCTGCCGCTCTCGCGCACCTTTGGCCGTCGAGTTGGGCTCGACCCATTCGTTTAAAGTTCGTCGTTCATATCATTTCGTTTTCATTCGCTTGCTCGTCTCGGAAGGCGACGCATTGAGCTGATTTGAGTGCTGCGGCTGCTTTCAATCTCATGGTCGTATTTTTCTGGCAGTTTCGGCGGCAAAGCTAAGTGCACCACCACCACCCGTACGCTATTGTTGATGAGGGCGCCTTTAGGGCAGCAGATTTCGCATGCATTTTGTAAAGGGCAATGGAAATCGTATTGTCGACAGCGGCAGGCAGAGTGAGCTCCTGTTGCTGTCTCCTTTCTGTGCGCATGCACCGGCCTTGCACTTTGAATAATATTGAATGTGTATATGTCGTCTATGTGCGTGTATGTGTATTTATGGTATATGATGCAGCGCCGGCTGGCGGGCGGTAGTCAAAACGACTGTTGCGTTTAGCGCCCATCATCTTTATTAACAAGAACCACTACACATACATATGTATGGATATCCACTGTCACATACACTCACAGGAATATGTGTATTTGCATGTTTGTCTGTAGCTTTGAGTTATTTTTGCATTTTAGCAACTCTGTAAATCTCAGCTGTGGTGGGCTTGTATTGAAAAAATCTATAAACGTTTTTTTATTTTTCTATTTTCGTGGGACTGTCCTCATTTGGTCGGTGTGTATTTTATGTCCTTTTTAAGTGATTTTCTGACTGCACGTCCGTACGCCCGGCTTCCACCGATCGCCTGCTCCACTCCAATGCAGAAACTTGTTTGGCGTGTTCTAAACGTTTGTTGTTGTTTTTCTGGTTGGTTATTGTTGTCAGACAGAAAAAGCTTGTTTTGGCTGCCAAATGTCTGGCAACGCCAGTGGACAATCGACAGGTAGAAAAAAATACGACAACACAGCATAAAAGTGCGTGTCTCTTTTGTGTTTGTGAATGTGTGTGTGTGTTGTGCGAACATAAGTCGGCAGTCAAGTGGTCCGAGTTGTTGTTACTGATTCAGATGCTTTTGTTGTTTTGATGTGTGGCGTCACCGAACGCAACACTAACCGGCTACCTTGCCAGATTGCCGTTTGGTTAAGCTTAATGTATTCTATTAAGGTGCTAATTGCGAACGGCCGCCACTGTCACATGCGGAGCTCCTCAACGAAATTGCTGTTAGCTATCTACAAACACATATACACAAACACTACCAAGCTGCGATAAATGTGCGTTTGTAGCATGTGCTCTCTGGGATTGGGTTAGTCACTTTTGATATAAATTTTTCATAAGCCACAAGAGTTGAATCTAACACACGACTAGAGATGAGAGCGTGTTCAGCTTGCTTAATGTTAAATCTATCGAGGTGAAAATCACACTGAATATGCGGTTAAACTGCCAAGGGCTATCGTGGTGAATATTAAATTTACAATAAATTACATTTTCATATGTAAATATCTGTATGTAAAATTGACAATATAAGAAAAGCTTTATTCTTAACTTTTTGTGTATAAAAGACTAGTCGAAGCACTTGTAAAATACAGAATTTAAACATATTTAACGTATTATGTTTTTTTGTCTTTAATTCTGCAGTTAAAACGTTCAAGAATTTAATATGAATAATATAAGAACGTTAATTAATATAGATTTTTCGACTATATCATTTTCAGTATACTTCTGCTGATGGACAAAATACTAATATGGTTTGTTCTTCCTGTGTAAAGCTAGCTCATCTCTAACAAAAAATACCAAGAACCAGAAAAAGCGTGCTTCCTGCCTTTAAAAAGCCACGCAACCACGCAACGTATATACGTATATATGTATGTATGTATATTTGTACAATTGTACTTATGTCGCGATGAGCGCACTAAAATATTCATGAATTTAGATGACATTGCCAAAGGCAGCACACGGATGATGGGAAGGTAAAAGGTGCATGTTGTTGTTATTGCTGTTTGCTGTTGTTGGCCTGGCCAACGAGCGGCAGCAACAGCTGCTGTCCCAATTTGGTGCTAATCAAATGCACAAGCAAAGTGAATACAAGATACAACAAACATACAATATGAAAGAGAGCGAGGGAAAGAGAGAGACAGACCACACCACACAAAGAAGTGCTCAAATAATCACTAGAAATGTAGTGTGACCGTGCTTACACACCACACCACAAACACACACACACAGCCATTCGCATATAAATATGTAAATCTGCTACGGCTGTTATCTACGACGATACTAGTGCGAGAGACACACACATAACATAAAATAAAAAAATCCAAATTAAAAATGCGAAATGCGAACAGCAACAAACAAACAAAATGGCAAAGAAACTGCTTTTGGTCATGCGGCGGAATCAGTTGAGCTTCAGTGCTCAACGGGCGCAGTGCCGCTGCACGGCTCACCATCTCTTGTTGTTTCTGTTTGTGAGTGAGGTGGTCTTGTTTGTATATGTGTGTGTGTGTGTGGGAGATAGAACTTGAGTGAGTAAGTGAATGAGCGTGCATTTATTTATATAGATTGCTAATGATAGCTTACAATTGCCGATTACAATGACAATAACGGCATACGCAATCTTCCACCTCCCTAATGATTTTCTTTTGGCATATCAATACAAAACGTACGTTAGCTCTTAATTTTTCCTTCTATTTGTTGTTGCTACAGTTAGTTCAATTACTCACCAATTGTCGGCGCTGCACACCTTTCGGATTCGCATTGCCGCCTGCAGCGACGCTGTTGTTATTGTTGCTGTTGCTTTTGCCAGGCGACGACCCCGTTTCGGCGGTGGACATCGCCACGAAATATGTTGGTTTAATTTGCACTTGTACTTTAAAAACTTGGCACGCCTCGTTCTCTTCGTTTATGAGCGCTCTAATCAGCGCTGCTTACGGTTTATTTGTTGTTCTTCTCCTTTTTTCACTTTGCCACTTTTCACTTTTAATTATTTGCTGTAATCAGAGAAAAAGATAGAGAGAAACAAACTTAAAGATGCATGAAAATTACAGCCAGTGCACTTGTTTGTTATTGTTTTTTTTTTCCTTTCGCTAACACGACGCGCAACGAAATACTAATTGCAGACAGCCTTTATTACTTCATACAAATTGAGCTAGCAGCGAAAATTGAACATATACACACGCACGCAAAGTTACGGGCGCTCTTATGCGCTATGCGTAGCACACGCTTGCTTGTATACTCCCACACACGAAGAAGACGACTAAAACCAGAGCCACAGAGCAGAATGTACCGTGCCGCCAAGGCAAGCCGAGTGGAACTCAACATGGTGGGCTTTTGTTATGTTTTGTGTAAAATTCACCACGCTTCTCAACTACCAACCAAGCAGATAGCCTGCTTGCCTGCCTACTTCTGTGCTACGTCAGGGGCTCGGCTTTAATTTCGTTGGGGGATTCGGCTAGCACCCACATGTGCGCCACTGCTCCGCTGCTGCTGGTGCTTCTAGTTCTGCTATTATTTCACAGGTCAACGAAAAGAAAAAAACCTGTGGTGTATTCAGTCGTAACGTAGCGTTGGGATCGGTACCTGCCTGCGTGTCGCTTCCATAAATATGATGTGAATATGGGTTGCATCTATTTGGCGTATTTTGTCATACGACAAACGACAGCAACAGCGGCATCAATATAAAAGCTCACTTATCACATTGCCCCTCCAGCCACGACACAGGCACATACATGAGAATTTGGCATTTCACATTGCTTCCCCATGAACTTGTAATAAATATTCTAATTTTGCACTTGAGCGTTTGTGTTCCGATTGTTACACGTTTACTCTCTGCTAGCTGGTTTAATCCGATTTTCCTACTGAGTATATCTTGTTATTGTTAGTGGTGACTTTTTTTTTAGATATGTAAGCGTCACCACGCTACTAAGAAACTAGCGAACGACGAAGCCGACATCGTTCTGGTTAGATCTTATTGTTTTTGTTTTTGTTTTTGCGTCTCCAAATTACACTCATTTTAATTATAATTAATACGTATGTATATGTCTATATGCATATTTGTGTTTATATAGATGTATATCTGCTACATACATATAGAAATGTATATATTTATATATAACGACCCGGCCGTACATACATACATGCATACATATGCCCCGCACTGTTCACTTCACTCACACAGTCATACATATATACCCGTAAATACACACACACGTACAATTAACATCCATGCATGTATGTATGTACATATGTGGCTCATAATTAATTAAATCTGTAATCAGTGCCGCTTAATTTGTGCAAAATTTCTTGCATCTGGAGCTCGCAATACAGTTTGCACACTTGGCAAAATACGTTGAAATGAGAGATTTTGTATTTTTTACCCATTTTTAGCACTTATCGAAGTTTTTAATACGTCGTCACAACACGTCCGCAAAATACACCCGCACTTGATGAAAATTGAACTGCGACTGACTAGTGTGACCGTGAGCAGAGAACTGTAAAAATGGCTTCTCTTTTATTAACGTTATGTTAAGTCCTAACAGAATGTCCACAAAACGTACAGAGCTGAAAACGCCTTTGTTAACATTACGATCTAGTTTTAAGATAATTTAAATTTATAACAGAAAAGTGAATTCTAAGACAGCTTGTCTTCTCAAGTCAGAACTGTCAGTAATAATCTGATATTTACTATTTTTCTTAACTAATTTGGTCAAATGTAGATAACTATTTCCGCAATTGAGCAATACAGGGGTTATTTCCGTCTCCAATCTATGTAAAGTGCCATTGTGGCAGTTAACAGCTGTTAATGTCCAGACAGGGTTACCAGGTCTTCTCCCAAATACACAAAATACATTCAATATACTTTTAATGTGAATAAAATGAAAAAAACACTTACGTATGAATACATATGAATATTGTTATCGTAAAATTAATCAAATTATAAACAGACATGCTGCTAAATCTACTTTTTGCTTATGCACACTATAAACATATCCACCCTTCACTATAACTTATTACAGCTACAGGTCCTCATCCATTTGCTCATCAGACTTATTTAAATTCACATTGCATGTATTGTTATTCTCAAAGAACTCCAGCTCATCGTCATAATCATCGAGATGCACGCCTGCAGGCAGTGTACCCACTGTTGGTGAATTTGGGGGTCGGACTCGAACCTGCTCCTTGGGCAGCGATTGCGACTGAGGTAGTTGCAAGGGTGACGGTTGCCATGGCACCAAAGCTGTACACGGCCTTGGAATTGTTTTAAGTAGCCATTCGGGTGGTACAACGCACGGTGCTGAAATTGGAGTGACGCCCTGTTTCAGCTCATCACAGATCACAATTCGATTGGCGTTGCGCAGTTTCTGTTCTAGTTCCATAGCTGCCATCTGATAGGCCGGATTTGGATGATGTGTTTTTCCCGTACTGGTTGAGGGTATATCATCGGTAGCTAATCCTCCATTTACACTTGGCACACTGTTATTGTTACCCACTGTGCGAACTGAGCCGACACCGTTTGCATCTCCAGAAATTTGTAGACCACTAAAGTGCGCCGTTATTCGTTCCTCGGTTATCAACTGTTTTGGAGGTCTAGTAAAGAAAAGTATCTATGTAGAGAATACATATATATAAATATATAATTTCTATGCTTACAGCCCGGAGGCTAGTTGCTCCAGAGATTTGCGCTTCTGCTGCCACTTGCCGCATTGTGGATCAGTCTCAATGTTATAGTTAGCATTTGAGCCGAATTGCATGACACCGCCGGGCTGTGGTGCATTCGTTGTTGCCAGCATCCATGGCATTCCGTCGAGCAACCAAGGATGTGTCGCTGGATGCGCAAAGACCGCCCGCTGCTCCGATTTGTGCAAATGATTTTGATCGGGGCCGTCGTACGACCTGCAATATGCAAAAAGACGCTCAACCAACTGTATTCGCTATATACACATATATAAACACAATGCACTTACTGCATTTTATGTCAAACTTCGCCTTTAGCTAAACTTTACAAACTTGTATTATTTTTCGCAGTTTTTTAAGTATTGTTTTCTGGTTTGCTAGCGTTGCCACTTGTGTGCATGTTTTCGACTGTATCGATACTTTTTTCATGCGCAGTATCGTTGACATAGAATGTGCTAGAAAATACCAAAGAAAGCATTATAAAAAGCGCGCAGTTGAGAGGCTTTTTAAATATTTTACAATTAAAGCGCAAGTGAACAAGTGTTTAATTAATTGTTTAACTTCATAGTAATCAAGACACGTACAAAAATAAAGTTATTTTTAAAGTGCAAAGACAACAAATAGAACAAAATTAGTCAAAATGCGTTTCACAAGGTGAGCTTTTATTTTTATATATAGTATTTAGCTATAACATTAAATAAATATAATTATGTACATACATTTTCTGTCCTGCAAATAAATCTACTCTTAAGTAAAAACAAGTTATATAAAACCACGATTGTGAGTATCAATCAAAAAACTTGTTTAAAATATATAAATAATACATATAAATACATATCAGGAATATTTTGAATATAAACGATTTTACGTGCGCGATACCGTCACAGTTTTATTTTTTCCCCTTTCCTATATTATTTAATTTCAACTTTGTTTTCCATGTGGTAACACTTTAGATTCATTGCTTCAATCGCCTTCACTCACACTTTCCCTTGCTTATCACACAATTATTCGAAAATAACATGTTTTTCTCATTTCAATCTCCGCATCGATTGATTTGCCCTGGGAACAACATCAGCAGACACAGCATCACTTTCCAATGACGTTTACCAATAACAGACAGTTGCTGTTGTTTTTCGTTTTTCCGATTTACTTAGGAAATATCAGTCAGTCACTGAGTTACTAGGCACTGTGTACATATTTAACGTATGGGGTTGGGGGTTGAATCAGATGGGTCTTATCAGCACAAGACAACTGATCAATCGATCCCCCTGGGCTTTTATTGAAGTCATAAGTCGAGCCGATGCCTTGCGATGCAATTAGTAATCACACATTACAATTTCGTCAGGCTGGAAAAATACTTATTCTAAAAATAAAAGCCAATTATATTCCAAACAAAATTCAAAATACGGTTATGTCGCTCGTTACTGAACTCTTATATTTAAAAAAGCTTTCGTGCGCAAAACTTTTAAGTCCCGCTCTTTCTCATATATATCACTCTTTCTGTTGCTTATGTTGGATAAAAGCTTACGAGCTTGTTGTCAAGTAAAATACAGCACGTGTGTACGATCTCCGCTGCTGCAGCGCAGTTCATTAAGAACAGAACAACCGATCGGTTTGCATTTCCCAATTTGGGTGTGGAAAATTTGTGCACAACTAGACGAAAGGCAGGTAAGATGAATACAAGCAAATTTTGTGTACATATACAAAATAAATGTCGGGACCTGTCTGGCCAGACAATTTACATGATTTGTTGTTATGCATCGCTAATTGTTAATCAAAATAAAAACCAAGCTGATAACGTTAGCTGTCACCCACAATGTCAGCAACACGGGCTGCACTGTCTGCTAAATATAGCGAAAGGGGTCAATTGTCAATACATGTGCTGTCATATCGACATAGAAAATCAAAATTAAAGTTATGCTAATTTTCTGTTCCAATATCACAAATTCTTAAGCCTACACAGTATATTTTGTGTACGCTTGAATGACAATTCATGTATTCATGCCGTTGTGTGTGTGGGGTGGAAATGAAAGTCATTCGATTTTTATCGTCTGTGTTAGCTTTTTCTCCTGCTTATACTTTTTTCTTTTTAATAAGAAATACAAATTTTACCGTAACAAAATACGCATAAGAGTTAGACTGTTAAACTTATAAAACACGCATTTTTTAAGTAACAAGAGTGAAAAATTATTAATGATCATTGGAAAATTTTATATCTGGTGCTGTGCAAAATGTCAAAATGTTTAATCAGGGCATACGTTGCTACAGTGTGTATCCGGAAGAAACAGATGCATTCGCCAATGGAATTGTACTCAACTTTTTGGAAATCGCATGAGCAAAACTTGAAACTGCGTTTAAGAGTCAAGCAAAACGTGTATGTTTATCATTTTCTCTGAGTGTTGCTGTGTTGCTATGAACAATTATGATTTATATTTATATTTTGTTATAAAATAACTTTTATAAAGCACAAAACAAAATAACTGCACGTGCATTTGCAATAGACAGCTGTTGCCAATAAAGCGTTGCCACCTCTCACTATTAGTGATGAATCTGGCAACGCATATCCAAGTTGAATTAGATATTTAAAATCAGGTTTTTTTCCTAATTACTTATCGTGGTGAAATGACATGCGTTTATAAGTATATGGTTAATATGAATTTCTTTTAGAACGTGTATACTATAAAAGCTTTACGCGAAGAGCTTAAACCTGTTGTTAACAGCGTCATTTAATGTATGTCGTGAAGGTGATTCGTTGTTTTCATGTGCTCATTTCAATACGTGCTGTGGAGAGTTAAAGTTTGACGTGCCGGGAGCAGTGATGGCAAATACACACATACTGACAGCAGTACCTGTGTTTATAGTATAACTACGTACATTTGTTCATATATAATATAATATAAACAATTCACAAGCTACACTAATTCTACGAACAACGCAGTCGCTGCTGTTGCAAATAAAATCACACTGCTATCAGAATAACCCATGAGTCATTCTGACGTGGCTGCGCAGCAAGCTGATAAATACATATTGCCATTCGGGCAACATCGGGGAAGTACCTTTTACGAATAAAAGCTGTACTCGCCACGAATAGTAACACGATCGTCTCATTTTCGTTTCGGACGAGCAGTGAAACGGTCAGAAAGTTTAGTGTGCAACTACGACGTAAAAGCGAAGGCAAAACAAAGCGAATTGAAGAAAATAAGCAATACGCGCTCACGTGTCTAGTAATACAGCAACAATGCATCAACAACAATTCTTTGACCTGGATCAGGGAAGAAATATATCCTACATGAATGATTGTTCCAGTACAAGCGGATATAGCAGCGCGAATTCGCCTACATCGATGACACAGTCGCCATCACATTCACCGGAGACATTTGTCTTACAAAATGAATTCGCCAACCTTAATTTGCCCGCAATGTCAAATTCACCTTCACCACAGCTACAGCAATTACGCGGCTCTCCATACCAGCAGTCGCACACAGCAAATCAGCTGCTCCCAAGTGGCAGCATTTGCATGGAAATTGATGGTGGCAGCAACAATATATTAAATGGAAACACAAATTTTGGCAATATGTACATGCCCGTGGATCATTTCTATGCAACGCCACAAAATGTAGGATTTTCGCCAATCGATGGGAGTATTAAACATGAATATACCGCTGTGCTGCACATTGCCGAACAGCCGGTGGAAAAATTTCGCTTTCGCTACAAAAGTGAAATGCATGGAACACATGGTTCACTCAATGGTATTAATTCAAAGCGGACGCCAAAAACATTTCCAGAGGTAATGTTACGCAATTACAAGGGACCGGCAGTCATCCGTTGTAGTCTATTCCAAACGAACTTGGATAGCCCACATTCACATCAGTTGGTGGTGCGCAAAGATGAACGCGATGTGTGCGATCCACATGATCTGCATGTCTCACAGGAGCGCGGCTACGTGGCTCAGTTCATCAATATGGGCATAATACACACGGCCAAAAAATTCATATTCGATGAACTGTTAAAGAAGAAAAAGGATCGTCTGGTCTTCCAAATGGGTCGTCGTGAACTGTCTACTAAGCAGGTGCAGGAATTGCATCAGGAAACAGAGCGTGAAGCGAAAGATATGAATTTGAATCAGGTAAGTCAACAAATTTCACATTAGTCATGGAAGTGTGCTGAGCGCAGATTGCATTCCAGGTGCGCCTTTGCTTTGAGGCCTTCAAGATTGAGGATAATCACAGCTGGACACCCATTGCCGCGCCCGTCTTTAGTAATCCCATTAACAATCGCAAATCCGCACAAACTGGCGAGCTGCGCATCACACGCCTGAGCAAACCCACAGGCAGTGTCATGGGCAACGATGAGTTGATTCTGCTCGTGGAGAAGGTTAGCAAGAAGAACATCAAAGTTCGTTTCTTTGAGGAAAACGATGATGGTGAAACGGTTTGGGAGTCATATGCTAAGTTTCGTGAATCGGATGTTCATCATCAGTATGCAATTGTCTGCCAGACGCCCGCCTATGTAAATAAGGATGTCGAACGCGAAGTGGATGTTTCTATTGAGCTAATACGTCCCTCCGACGATGAGCGCTCTTTTCCTCCATTGCCTTTCCGCTATAAGCCACGCGATGCTATTGTTTCACGCAAACGGCGACGCACCTGCTCAACACTTACCAGCAGCAGCGGCAGCAGCAGTGGCAGCTTGCACAACTCATTGGAGTTGCCAAAGACGGTGCCGCAGCAGAACGTGGTTAATGTATCGCAGCATGATCAGACGATAAGTCAGGAATTTGGTCGAGAATTTCATTTGGATCAACTAATAAATCCAGAATCGTTTCGCAAGATACTCGAACAGGACTCCGCGGAGTTGGAGAAGCTGTGCGTCACCGATATTGGCGTACTGGAAACAGACGGTCAACTGCAAGCGGATAGTGCAGATAGTCATATCCACTTGCAAGGCAGCAGGTACAATCGCAATCTGACCAGTATCTATCTGGGTGAAATCTTTAAGATATTCGAAATTGTTCGACGTGCTGGTGATAATCAAGAACTCTTCGAAGCCTCCTGCAAAAAAGTGGAGTCTCTGTTCAACGATCATACGCAAAGGAACGTGAATAATGATACACTGCTGCACGAGGTGATAAGCCAGCGCAAGGATGCTCTGAAGCTGGCAATTAAAACGTTCCACGTGATTGACTACTTTAAGTTGCAGGAACTGGCGCATATGGCACAAAATGCGGATGGAGATAGTTGCTTACATGTAGCCTGTCAGCAGGATCGAGAGCATTATATACGTCCACTGCTGAAACTCGGTTGTAGCCCAAATCAACAAAATGGAACGGGCAATACGCCTTTGCATTTGGCTGTCAAGGAAGATCGCAACAATTGCATTAAGTTATTCCTCAATGCACCCGGCGTTAAATTGGATTTATCACTGATGAACGATGATGGTTTGACCCCACTGCACATGGCCATTAGACAGAATAAATATGATGTGGCGAAAAATCTTATCAACTATGATCGCAGCTCCATAAATGTCGCCAACACAAAGGACGGCAATAATGCGCTGCACATGGCTGTGCTTGAGCAGAATGTGGAGCTGATCGTTTTAATACTGGATGCAGAGAATCGAATGGATATATTAAAAAGTACAAATTCGGCTGGCTTAACGCCATTGCAGTTGGCTCGCGCCAAGGCCGATGCTCGTTGTGTTCGGTTGCTGGAGGAGGTGTATCCGGATAAGGGAGAGAGCACCATGACATGGATACCAGTAAATATCAAAGAGGAAATGGACTCCTCATCCGCCGAAGATGATGAAGAAAGCAATTCCGAAATACCCCCCCAAGCGATCAAAACCGAAGAGATTGAAATGGTTTTCAAAACGGAGCACGATGATGATGACAATAACCAAGATAAAAGCGATGTTAAAAATCAATTGAAGCAATTGCTTAGCAGCAAACCCAAGTTTGAAAAACTCGCGGCTCAGCTTAATGAGCCTACGTCACACGATGCCAACTTGCCCAAATGGAAAGAGCTTGCCGACAAATGCAAATTGCAAAAGTACGTCTGGCTCTGGTCCAGTTCAGAGGGTATGCTTAACTATGTACAACAACAATCGAACGATGAGTATAAATACTTTGCACTTGTGCTGCAGGAGCTGGGTATGCTTAATGCTTCCGATTAATAATATAGTTTTATAAATCTTTATAGATATATATTAAGAAACATTTTTATACAAATATATATATATATATATATATACAAAAATATATATTTATTAAGTTTAACAAGAATTTTTGCTGTATTACATAATAAATTGTTCAATAAATTTTTACATCTCTTGAAAAGGGGAAAACCTCCAATATGCATTGCAGTAAAAATATTGTGTGTGAATCACCAGACAAGTTATAGAACTGATTGTGCGCTAGGGGATTTACCGCACAATCGTACTGTGTACTTTCCCCTTGGTGTGGTTTGAACTATCCAATTTATAGTATATAAAAAACTGGGGCTCACTGAACCGCAGTGCATTAATCTCATTAGATAAAATGAAGACTGAATTATGAATTCTATACGCGTGGGATATAAAAAGATAACTATATTCATACGTATATTTATTTATATATATACATTTTTGTTTTTTTTTTTTTTTTTGTTGTGAAATACTTCCTCTTACGCATAATGCATCTAATCCCATTCTATAATTCATATTTGGACTATCTTATCTTATCCATTTCCTTTTCGAGCTCTATAAATCATATATCTTTTCAAATAAACTCATTTCCTTCTTTATTCACTCTGCAGCAACATGGCTCAAATAATTGATGGCAAAAGTATGGCTAACGAAATTCACAGTGAATTGTGTAAGGAACTGAAGGAGTTTGTGGCTAATGGAAATCGTGTGCCACACTTGACGGCTATCATTGTGGGTGAGGATCCCGCTAGCCAGAAATATGTGGAAAAGAAGACGCAGGCCTGCAAAGAAATTGGCATTAGCAGCCGGACAATTGTGCTGCCCAATTCTACGACACAGGCGGAGCTGCTGGATGTGATCGATAAGGAAAACAAAAATGAGAGTGTGAATGGAATATTGGTGCAGTTGCCGGTGCCAGCACATATCGATGAGCGCACCGTATGCAATGCCATAATTGCTTCCAAGGATGTGGATGGATTTAATGAGATCAATATTGGTCGCTTGGCTTTGGACATGAATGGTATTGTACCGGCCACACCACTGGGTGTTAAGACCATGCTGGAGCGCGCCAATATACCAACTTTCAATCGCAATGCTGTTGTGGTGGGCCGTTCCAAAAATGTGGGATTGCCGTTGTCCATTCTGTTGCACTCGGATGGCACACATGCGACTAAGGGTCTGGATGCCACAGTCACCATTTGTCATCGCAATACGCCAGCCAAGGAGCTGGCCAAGTATTGCCGACAAGCGGATATAATTGTTGTCGCCGTGGGTAAACCGGGATTGATAACCAAGGATATGGTCAAGCCGGGTGCTTGTGTCATTGATGTGGGCATCACCCGGATCCAAGATGAGGGAGGCAAATATAAGTTAGTCGGCGATGTCGATTTTGATGGTGAGTAAACGGTACCAACAACCCAAAATCATGTATGCTAATTTGGCAATGATCCTTATTTGCAGAGGTCCGCCAGGTCGCTGGACATATTACGCCTGTACCTGGAGGCGTTGGACCCATGACAGTTGCCATGTTAATGAAAAATACCATCCTGGCGGCCAAGAAACAGGCAGCAGACCAATCCGACTAAAGTCGAAAAGCATATCAAAATTTGACAACGAATTTACAATACGATTTCCGCTGCCAGCAGCGGGCCCATAGTATTTGTTATTTAACGCACTAATAGTCTAAGCAACACTAACAAACCATATAAGTAACAATTAAATAAACGACTATAATATACCTAAAATATAAAAGCAAGTAATTTTCATTTAATTGTGCGACTTTCCCTAGGAGCTGAGCAGCGTTGCCATACAGTAAAATTAAAGCACTAAGCAGTTGAAATATAAAATGATCAATGTTATGGAGTATATAATATTAATTATTAGTTGCGCTTTTCATTTCATTTTAGCCATTATATTTCATTCATCATTACATAATTACTCGTTCAAGGAGCTCAATAGTGCTGTCATACTTTTTTAAAATTGTATACAAAGTGTAACAGCGGATCAGGCAGCAAAATTGTAAACTTTGTAACATACCTATGAGAAAAATCCAAATTACTAATTTTTAACATCGGTTTGTATAATATAAAAGCTATTATATTTAAAACACTAAAATAAAATATATAAAATCGTCTTCTTTTTTCTCAAATAAAACATAACACATATCGAATAATTGTTTAGTGTACATTTATAACGTAACAACACATGTCATTTTAACAATGCCAGTAAAATTATTAAGTGGATACTATTTGCCTTGCAACGCCGGTTGGCTACGCAATTGGAGAATTTACAACTAGGTGGCAACTCTGTTAGTCGGTCGTTATGGTGTTTTCGTATAAATCAGATTTAGTGCTCAAAGCAAATATTGTTATAATTATTGTGCTGTTAAAAACGTCCCAAGTTTTGGGTAAGAAAAATTTTTCTATCTCAATGGCATCTATATTTTCGTGCAACTTCGAGGTCTTTGGAGTAGTTCAAGGTACATATATTCAACGATCGTCAGTCACATTCGCGAATTCCTCATTGTTACACATTTTTAACTTTTCTTTTATTTTGCAGGCGTTTTCTTTCGCAAGGTAAGTCTATTTAGAATAGCACGTTGTGCTGTGAATAATAAGCTAATAATAAGTTGGTTTATAATATATATGCATATAGTACACAGAAAAACAGGCAAATGAACTGGGAGTGCGCGGTTGGTGCAAGAACACCGCAAAAGGCACAGTAATAGGTGAATTGGAAGCTCCTCTAGGACCGCTTAACGAAATGTAAATACAAAGATGAGATTATTAGTGTAACAGTTTTTTTGAGTCCTGTCATATCTTGACTGCTTCCAGGATGGATTGGCTCCGGAACAAAGGTAGTCCCGAATCGAAGATTGACCGGGCAGAATTTTCGCCACTTCAAGAAATTGCCAGCTATAACTTCAACAACTTCAGAATAATACGTTAGTCAGAACCAACATTCTATCTACAAATCGTAAAACACATTGGGAAACTTGCAACATTTGACCTTGCAACGAGGAACAAAAGCACACAAAACAAGTGATTTTTTTCCTTTATTTTATTCATATCAATGACAAGTTTTACAAATACCTTTCCCCAAGTTTATTAGTACTAACTTGTAGAGTTAGGTTCCTTAATATTTAATCCATTTACATTCTTAACCATAAGTTCACCTGGAATGTGTAGGAACAAGAAGAAATCCTATCCTAATGATACTTAAGCGATGCCTAAAAAATTAAAAGTCAAGAAATAGCATAATATAATTAATATATTTTATTCACTTTACCGTAGCCATAATTATAATACATCCCAGTAGAAACAATAACAAACATATTGCTTATTTGCGAGCAGAGTTGCTTTTTATGTAGTAGCATCTTGTCACGATTAGGTGCTGCCATTTGTGACCGAGTAACGATTTAAAGTAACCATTTGTCAAGACATCTCACTTACACGCATTGCAACACTGATGCGGAATTGCCCATGTAGCGGCATGAGTACAAGCGAGACAAATATATGACCAGCATGCGTACTTTGGTCTGGCAGCACAGAAACGAGTACAGCTCCGAATACACGTCGTTTTGCCAAAAGCGTAGCAGGGAGCAAATGAAAAAATATATAAATGAGGAAAAAAAATTCGTGAAATAATATCGACAAATATAAGAAACGCGAGCAACGCCGCTTTAGTAAAAATCGACAGATTTAATAATTGCGTGCGTTGTGCAAGCGTCTGAAATTGTGCGTATAAAATAGTAATAATTTTTAAGCAATTACAAATTCTTGCGTGCTTCTTCTGTATGTCGGTGCATGTATGCGTGTGTGTAGTGCACAGTTTGGTTACTTTCGCGCTGAAAACGTTTTCTACTACTTTTTTGTTGAACCGAAGAAAAACACATATGTATGTGTGTATATACATAAAGAATTTTGCGATAAAAGCGAAACTGTTTATAATGTTCAGAAATTTGGAGGCATTTCAGTGTATGCCTTTTATGTGTGAACGGAAAGAAAAACGAAATAATTGTGTAAATAACTGAAAATAGTGCTAGACATACTCGTGTATGTGTGTATGTATATAATACACACGTCTATACAAGCAGTAGCCTCATGCATGGGTCTGTACCCATATGTATGTGTATGTGTTAGAGTGTGTGAGTGTATGTGTATTTTATTTGTTTGTGTGATGTGAGCGCGCACATATTGTAAAGGCGCGAGCTAATTAATTGCCAACGATGAAAAATTCAATAAACCAAATTACATAAAAATAAAAACAAACTGCTACGCTGTGTAACTGCTTTTTATATATGCACTTATGCTGCAGACATGCGTCATAAAATAATTTAGATTTTCATGCGCGCAGCGAAGGATTTCGTCAGTAGTTTTTGCCCATTTGCATTGGTTCAAATAGTCTGCTGGCTGAACCGCAGTATTCTATATAGTTTTTTTATTGCGCATCATTGTGAATGAGCAATAGCGCGCGCTCTCTTCTGTGCTCTCACAATAGGCATGGATAGGAGCTCGTGTTCGTGTGTGTGTGTGTGTGTGTGTGTGTGTGTGTGTGTGTGTGTGTGTGAGAGAGAGAGTGTTACACATACGCACGCGGTGCCGGAAAATACTTCCTATAGGCGGCGCTAACGAAGATAATCAAAAGGAAGAATAGGCAACCAAAATAACAACTGAATTTTGTTAGTTATCGTTTGTTGGTTGGTGTAATTTTTATCGAGTAGGTCTATTTAAGCAGATGTCTGGCAACTTTACATAAAGCATCCGCCTGCTATTGACGGAAGAGGTCATAAAAATATTAAATGCAACGGCTTTTGTTATCGCTGTTAATTTGTGTAATTATTGTTATCGATTATGCAAATGTGTAGCGAATTTAGATAAAACATTCTGCCATAGCTTCAGTAGTAGGCGAAACGAAACGTGTTGAGCCTTATATACGAGTATGTATGTGTATATATGAGTGAGTGCGTAAGTGGAAAAACAAAGTGTGCTTTAGTTCGGTGTCAGTTTTCAAAATAAATTATTGAATTAATTTTTGAAAAATTGTTTTTCCGTCTCTTTTGAAGCGACCAACAGCAACCCCTCCCCCACAGAGCAATAAAGTGTATACAGTAATTAAGTGATAGCATTAAAACCGATTCCTGTGGCCAAGTGTATATAGCCCGAGTCTGTAATGCAGCTGGCCTGGCAATAGCGACGCACAAGTATGGCACCAGCGCTCACAGCCGAGCCACTGAGTCCCAAGGAGAAGTTAACGAGCAACGCCTCGCCTGCCACTGGTACGCGACAGTCTGTACGAAAATTAGACTCGCCCAGTGATACTGCCAAGAAGCCAATATCCCTAACAGCCACGACGCGTGTGACTCGCTCTAAGGACGCGGCACAGCGTACTGGCTCACCAATTGTGCAGGTCAACAACAACAAACGTAAACCTAACAATCACAGCAGCAACAATAACAGCAGCTGCAACAGCACCAATAACGAAGCCAAATCCGTGGAACATCAAATGGGCCTCAGCGCTGCAACCACACATACAAACAGCGACGGCAGTGCAGCTGCCTCCTCCAGCTCCAGCAGCAGCAACATCAACGACGCCGGTGAAACATCAGCATCAGCGACAGTCGATAACTCGCCCGCTGAGCACAATAACAACTGCAAGGACAACTCAACAGCAGAGCTGCTGGCGAATCTGACCAGCGAACTCGAGGAGGCCATCACAGCTGAGATTTGCCTGCGAAAAACACTGCCCGAGGTGAGCCACAGTAAGGAACAGCCAGCCGAAACGGAAGTAGCTGCCGCCGCTGCCATAGCACATTCCGTTCAGTTGCTGGAGCCTGCGTTAATGGCAGAAACCGAATCCCAGTCACAGTCGACAAGTGCAGCAGCAGCAGCAGCGGTGGTAACAACATCAACACCAGCAGCAGCAACAACAACATTCACTGACGCTTTACAACGGTTGTCGTGGCCGGAAATACCGCTGACCTCCAATGCGGATGGTGTGGCGGAATTGGCTGCTGCTGCTGCTGCGAAAATTCCAGATTCTATTGAAGGTAAGCGTTCCTAAAGAGCTGTTTTAGCTTCACTGGTTTTCGCGGTCCGCACGATCCGACAACATTTCAAACAATTTTGATAGTAAAGATTAGAGGCCGATTTCCAGTAATGCGCTTATTTGTTTTTCTTGAACGTTTGCTTGTTGTTTCGTTTGACATGTTCAGTTGGAATAACTTTTAGGTCAGGCAAAATTTCATTTATTCCAAAGATCCAGGCGAAACTAGCCGGATTTTTTGTTTATTTTTTATTTATGTTTCTTCCTTTTGTTTTTGTCATAGATGTTTAATAACATCAACGTTACAGTTTACTGTGAATTGTTACTTCCCAGATTTTTTATATTTAAGTTTACTTTTTGAATCATGTTAGACAAAAATTGGGTTTTCTAATTGAAAACAATTAATTTACAGAAACGAAGTTTTTGTATAAATTAAATGCACTTAAATTAAATGCACCTCATATAATATTGACTGTGTATTATAATTCACTGTTAAAGAAATTTAAAATATTAAAATAGCTAACAACGTTATTGAAAGGTCTTTTAACATTATGCACATCGGGCAAACATATTACATATTTATAGCTGCTCTCGCTATCGCATTGGACATGTTAGATGAATGTTATCAGGCATGAAAACAACAGCAGCAATTGGGGACTGTTAATCACAACAGAAATGCTGAACATTGTTCAGTATCTGAATAGCGCTTAAATCCTAATCCACAATTAGCGCCTGTTAACGTACAAATAATGTTAACGTACAACATAATAATTATGCCAATGAATTTTCAATGTTTACAGTGGCTTCGTATATTCTGTTAAGAGGATTTTAGTTACACAGCAATGAAAGTGATCGAGCAAATGTTAAAGGCAGCGTCAAGCTGAGCCTAGGAATATTTATATTTTTAGTATTGAAATTGATTTTACTTGTCAATTTACAGAATGCCTTAGTCAACTCGATGGCAGCCACAGTGTTGTATTGCCGCCCAATGTGGATAGAAGCGAATCGACGACAGAAGCTGGCGTAGTGGTGCCGACAACGCCCACAAGGTTGCAACAGCAATCACAACAGCAACAGCAGCAGCAGCAACAGCAACAGCAGCAGCAACAACAGCACCAACAGCAAGAGCAGCAACAACAGTTGATGCTGCTACAGCAACAACAACATCAGCAACAGCAACAGCAACAGTTACAGATGCTGTTGCAACAACAACCGGAGATACTCGCCTCACCACAGCATTCGACAGCTGCGCGTCAGTCGGGCACGTTGCTAACGCCACAGAGCACGACTAGCTCGATAAATTTTCTTAAGGATGGCGGTGCTGGCGCCGTGCTCGAGGATCAGGATATTGAGGAAGTTTTAAAAGCACTCAAAACATTGGACAGCGCGCACGTGAATCCGGAAACAATCTATAATTTCTTTGACGAGATGTGTTTCCCATGCAACGAAGAAGATGCATCGGCGACCGCCGCAACAGTTGCAGCAGCAGCAGTAGCTGGCCCAACTGCATCAACAGCAGCAACAGTTGGGGCATCAACTGTTGGAGACAGCCATGAGATGATGGAGTCAAAGTTCAGTTGTAGTGCAACAATCGCGGCGCGTCCCTGGCAGGAGTCCCATGCCGAGCTAGAGCAGCAACACTGTATGCTGTTCCGCAAGATTGAATTCCTACTGCGTCGCATGCGCAAGTTCCAGGCACGCCAGATGTGCCGGCATGCCAGCGACGAGGTAGGCGGCATACTCGAATGGTCGGCGCGTAGCTCACATAAAGCGGCGCCAGCGGCACCTGTGCGCAGTGCAAAACTATCCGAACGAGAGGATACCGTCTTGTCTATTGTATCTGGACGACCGAGTAGCAGCTTCTGGGAAGAGCAGACCAAGCAACCACTGCCTGCCAGCCAGATGAGCAATGTGCTGCGACACATTGAGACGGCGGCGCGTAAACAGCAAATCTGTCATACAACTGGTGGTGGCTCCGCATCGCTGGCGTCCTCTTCATCATGGTACAGCAGCGCAGCGCAGCCGGGAAAACGGGCGCGTAAAACACAACAACTGGATGCCAGCATTAACAACAGTACGATACCCGGAGGAGTGGATGGCCTTTCGACTACTCGCGCCGATGAGATTGTGCCGAACTTTGATACCTATGTTACCAGCGAATTAACCCATGTGTCGGGTTTGTTGCACACGGAAATGCGTGAGGTACAGAATGCAATCGACTCGGATGCCACAGAATCGAGCTCTGGTGGCGATTCTGCCGACGAGATGGTCACCTACAACAATTCCCAGCAGTTTTCATTGCCAATGTAAGTAAAGACAATGTTTATCTATTAAGTTCTTAACTAATAATCCAAAGTCTGTGCTCGATGAGGCCAAAAATCATAAACAATTTAACATTTAACGTTCGATTAGTATATTTTATGCTAAATGAAAGTTTATTTAAATTACAATTTACAACTATTTTTGCCATCAAGCATAGATTTATGTGAATAAATTTGTCTAAAATTATTCCAATGTTTTTTGTTTTCATTAAATAACTAATTTTAAGTTAGTTATTTTCTTGAAAAATTTGTGCATAGAAAATATTAATTTAATTAATTTGTTATTCTAACTTTATACGTATTTACGATCCATACATATACTAGTCTACTGATTAGCCAAGCAGATCTGTTATCTTAAACAGAGTCCTATCCGAAGTTCTGCTATTTAACATATGAGCAAATGTTAGCAACATTTGTACTGAGTCGCTCATTTTTGGTAGTTAGCATGCAAATAACATAGCTTTAGCACTAACAGCATATATGTCATAGTAAAATGTAGTTAGCATAATCATTTTATCTTTTAACTAATTTATCTGTTATGTTAATGCATTCTCGTTTTATATTTTTTAGCACGCGACGTGCCGTGTGGCGCTATTCGCGAGATCGTGCAATCATTGCCCTGCGCTGGTCCTGGCTGTGCGCTCAACTGGCCGATCTGGACATAAAAATTCGCCAGCACAACGATGTGTACAGCGATCTGTGTCGCACCAAGGGCGATGTGCTTTTGGAAACGACGAAGGCGCCAAAAAACGGCTATGCGGAGCAACCGCCGCCGCCAGCATTACAAGATCCCGAACAGACATCCGGCGATTGGCTATGTAGTCGGGCGCGTCCTTTAGTGCTGTCCGAGTTTCGTAAACGTAAACTCTTCCAGACCACAAATATGCACACAATATCTAAAAAGGCTGCTAGGCCGAGCAATATAAAATGTGGTTGTCAATGGCCGCAGGTGCCGTGCACTTTATGTACGGGCCGGCCGGATCCGACGGCACCAAGAGATTTGCCCGAAACACTGATGCCACAAAATCGCGTAGCGCTGCTCGATCCCGGCTACCATCCGGTGCTGAGCTTCTCCACTGGTGAGTTGTAAAATGGAGCTTAAGAAAACGATCTCTAAAATAATGGAATTTGGATTTACTTTCATTGCAGATGTTTGCCAGTCAGTGCATTTGGAGGCGATTAGCCGTCAGCCTGATTGGCAATATCGTGTAATGCGCAGCCAGGCCAAGGCGATTGTAAAGGGCGTCTGGAAGGCTGAGCGCGAGGCGATAGCCGCAAGTGGCGGTGGCGCTGGCGGTGGTGCTGGTAGTGCCGGACGAAGACCCGGTGAAACGACCAAGCGCCGCTATGTGCGACGCAAAGAGCGTAACAACAATAGTCAAAACAGAAGCAACAGCAGCAACAACAATAATAATAATAATAATAACAACAACAACAACAACAACAACAATAACAATAAAGAAACAACTTCACAAAATAATAATATCAACAGAGGGAGCAGTGGGCTTGGCCACGTGGGATTGGATAGTGGAAACGGTACTGGTACTGCTACTACTTCTTCTTCTTCTACGCCTACTACAACGCCACTTGTGGCCAACAGTAAATTATTGTAAACATGACAAATTCGATAATTGATTATTAACATAAAACAACAACAATTTGCATCTTCTTTCTTTTCTTTTTTTTCTTTACGCATTTCTTTTATGTTACACATCGCCACACACACACTATTACCTACACACGCACGCACACACACAACAACTGTGCAATAACAACGAACAACAACAAACAACAAAAACGAACAACATTTGTTTTATTTTGCAATTTGTTTTCGTTTTTCTCTCTTCAACATTTACTTGTGCCTGATTCTTGTTGGACGCCGCAGCGAGCAAAAAGCAGCGTCAGTTGGCCACGATTCGAGTCGGAGCGTCGCCCGATTCACAACATCAACCACTAAATAGCTTCGCAATGATCTCCGGCAACGGCTCTAAAAAGCCGCGCAAATCCGGCTCCAAGACACAACATCAAACACATTCAGCACACATTAACAACAGCACCAACAATAGCAGAAGCAGATGCAGCAGCAGCAGCCAACAGCCCAGCGCTGGGGATAATAGCAACAGTCGCTTTACTGGAGATTCGCAATGGGAACAACAACAGCAGCACAGTCGCCGTAATTCTTCCGAAACGCACGGGCAACGTAGTGAACGGTAAGTGAACCAAGAGGGAAAGCCATGATAATATCCAAACAAAAAGGATTTGCAGCTAATTTGCCTTAGAACGAGTTAAGACAAATACTACATTTAATAATCCTTCAATCGATCCCACTAAACAGCACCTCAGAAAGACGTAGTCGTCTTATTTACGACATTGATAACATCGTAATACCATACAGTATGGCCGCACAGACGCGTGTCGAAATACTGCCCTACAAGGAGATACCAACACCAAAGTAAGTACATACTTATATATTGTAGATGGAAGCCAAATATATATTCTTTATATATTCCCAACACAGGTGGCGTATTGTGGACAGCGATACTGAGCAACAATCCCCGAATAAATCTGACAATGCTGAGAAACTTACCAATGGCAGTGCGGAGGCAGAGCAGCAAATGGAGAAGGTGCAGGAAAGGAAGACACCAAAAGCAGTGACAACAGCAACAGCAGCATCAGCAGCAGTAAGCACAACAGAAACAGCAGCAGCAACAGGTACACCCACAACAACAACAACTGAAGCTCCAGCAACAGGTACACCCACAACAACAACAACTGAAGCTATAGCAACAGGTACACCCACGACAACAACTGAAGCTCCAGCAACAGGTATACCCACAACAACAACTGAAGCTCCAGCAATATCGACATCAACAACACCACCCGCAACAACAAAAACAACGCCCAAGCTAAACAACAACACAGAAAAGAAAACACTAACCAAGCCCGCAACTAAACTAAATGGCATGAAACAATCAAACAAGAAAAAGAAACGTTTGTCCGAAACTGTCAACCTCTCTAAGGAACAGCCACAATCGGCGCTTAGCAATGGATTGTTAAATGGGAAAGCCGAGCAGTTGGCAATTGAGGCCAAGGAGCAGCAGCTTAAGGGGAAGCAAACACCTATTAATGGTAAAACCAAAAAGCACAATAACAAAATACCTGTAAATAATAATGTATATAAAGCAAGCATACCTGTTGCCACGCCTACACCTGCAGCTGCTGCTGTTAATAGCAAAGATGCCATAGCGCCGATTACAACCGACAAACCAACAGATATAGCTGTGGAACCACCGAATAAGCGACCCAAGCTGCAGATAGCACAAGTCACGGTAGAAAAGACCCAAGTGAAGCCCAAAGAGCCAGCAACAGAGGCTGCCGTCACTCCCGCTGTTGACATTGTACAGGATGACGAAGAGGAGGAGGATACCTCGGATGAGGCATACATAGCTCGACATCAGCGTGCTCTCATCGAGGAACGCCGACGTTTCGAGACGTTCTTAAAGTTCCCTTGGAGCACTCGGTCGCGTGCGAATCGACGCGTGGACAGTCGCGCTGAATCAAGCGGCGCTAATACACCGGATCCAGCATCACCGGCTGCCTCTCAGCTAACTGGACCTGCCGCTGACAATGAGAGCATACCCTCACCGTTGGCACAGACCATGTTGCAGCATCCCCTCGATGCAATCACAGGTGATGGCGAGACCACAAAGCGACGTCGCACCACATCCAGCAAATTAAAGGATCACGAACGTCGCAGTACAACACCAGATACGAGAGAGGTGAGTATAGCTGTTTTCATATCAACGTAGTTACAAATACTAACAATTTATTTATTACCGCAGGAACCGCCGCCTTTTGAACCGTTACAGTTTCCTCTCTCTGAAGAGGTCTATCAACGACTACTCGCCGAGATGTATGCTGAGCCCAAAGAGCCGCCCACAGCAACAACCTCTATTGTGACAGCCGCCGGCCCAGCTAAGCGCATCAAAAGCAAATCGGTCTCTTCTAATGGGGAAAGCACAACGACAAACTCTAGCAGTCGACGCAGCAGCAAAGCAAAAGCTACAAATTCCAGTAAATTGACGCGGCTAAATGGTGGAAAAAATGCCGCTAAACAAGCGGCGCCGAAACCAAATCACATCAATGGGAGCCAGGATGATGGCTATGACGATGGCATTGACTATTTGCCAGAAGGGGATGACGATGATGACGAGGAGGAGCTGATGTTGCTGGAGGAGGATGATGACTATCACTATCTGGCGCCACCAGAGGATGATCAAGTGCCACACGCAGCAAACCATGCAAATGCCTATAACGCCAGCATCGATGCTTATCTAGGCGAGCGTGAGGGACTTGACGATGAGGAGCTGGTCGATGATCCATTCATGGACGATGATCCCAATGATCCCGAATGGAAGCGCAACATAGGTGTACGTCATGAACGCATGCGCAAGCGTGTGTGAGCCGTAAAGTGTTGGAAGACCAACTGCGAGAGATCGAGTAGCGAGTCGGCAGCGGCAATTACGCGAGCAACGAGTATCCAGCAGGAAGAGACGAGATGCTGGCAACAAGTTGCAAGTAGCAACTGAAAGCTAGCGAAATAGAATTCAAAGCTATTTAGACCGTGTGAAATGTGAATTTGAACTTTTAAATTAATTCGTCAAACTTTTAATTGAAATCGCTAAAGAGCGAGCTATATTTTTAACATGTTTTCCATTTACTTTTCAATTTAAAGAAAAAATAACAGCGAGAGTTTCACTTGAAAATCAAAAACAAAACTCAACTCGTAACGCAATGGCATTGCTTAATATTTCTAAGCAATTTTTAAGTTATTTAGTTTTAAAAAAAAATATATATATATTATATAAAAACAAAACAAAACGAAACACGCCACACAACAAAAAAAAAAACATGAAATATTTAAATGTAAATAGAAAAACTAAAAAAAAAACGATCTAAGCATTAAGAGATATGTATGTAGGATACTAATGGATAAAGCTAATGATAAAGATAATAATTCAAGCCTAGATTAACACACACACGTTCGTTTGAAAGTTAAAGTTAAAACAAAAAGAAGTAAAGAGAAGAAAATCTCACTTGGGGCTATAAGCCAAAAGTGTGCTATCTTTAAAATATGAATATAATATATGTATATATATACATATGTATATATATATATATTAAACTAGTTATATATAGATCGCATGATCGTAAAAAGGAAATAAGAAGGAGAAACAACAATGAATATTCAATTTGATTTTTAAATTGTATTTGCGCACCTCAACAACAACAACAACAAATGTAAATTTTTGCCGTTTTGAAGAATAATTCAGCCTGATCCCTTTTTAACCTAATAAATTAATCAATTTATTAATTATTAACCAGTTAAGACAGGCACGCTTATAAATATCTTAAAAGAAATATATATATATATATATATATATATATATATATATATATATATATATATATATATATATATATATATATATATGTTAATATAAATATATATATATATATTTACATTTATGTTTATATATATTTATATATATGTGCATAGATCGCGCCTCTTCAAAATGAAATCATGTATTTAGTTATTTAGGCGCTTTAATTTCTACTTCTACCTTTTAAACAAACAAAAAATAGTTGTTAACTGTAAACATTTACATTTAAAAACAAAACTTAAACTTAACTTTAAAGAAAATCCAACACACACATATAAGAAATAGATGGGTTAATTTGAGTAATCCTCTAAAAATGTTAAATTTCTAATTTTTCCATTTTCTATATAAATATGTATATTGCTTTTTCGTTTTAAACACACAAACGTTAATTAATTGAAGAAATGAAATGTGTATATGCAAAACAAAAACTAAGGACATTAAAAGCAAACAAATACAAAAACTCTATATTCGTAAAAATAATTAAAAATCATAAAAAAAAAACAAAAAGCATAAATCAAAAGTTTTTTTGTTCATTTCACTTGTCTTCTAATTTGCAACAGATGTGGCCCAACTTAAATTATTATGAATTATTAGGCTTGCCGATCAACATCTGCTTCCAGTTACGATTCACACTTGGATGAGCCAACAAGATGCGGGTAAATCGCACTGGACTAGTATATTAAAGGCTACTCTAAGTTACAATTTTCCACACATATTCTGGCTTCCAGTTATCTACGGCTTTGCTCTTCGTTCTAATTACAACTATGCACAGGCTGGAAGATTCAGACGCAGCCGCAGTTGCAGTCAGATCGATGAGAGAGAAGATCACGGAACAGCAGTTGATGCTGATCCGCAATGCACAGGAGCAGCAACAGCGCAGCCTGCTGAATGTGGAATTCAAGTTAAATCAAGTCATCAGTAAACTGGTAATTTTTACACACACTAACCAAGACGACTCTCTGAAGGAGTTGTCTGGAAAATTAAGTACGGCCCTGGAACGTGTCAGGCAACTACAGTTAAGTTTTCAATGGAAGAGCGAGCAGGCTAAAAGAATGGAAGAAATGCACTCAATGCTGGCGCTGCTGGTGACCAAAAGTCAAACCACTCGGGAAGAGGAGAAACATAACGGAAATGGCGCATTGGATATGACAAGGGAGCAAATGTCAAAGATTAAAGTGGCAAATAAAAGCAATGAAGCAAACGTGGGTGAGTGTGAAAATATTTAAAATAAAAACAAAATGAACGTACCTGATACAGAAAAATGCCCGAAGAGTATTTGCAGGCCGGTAAAGCGGACTGCGCCGAGCTGGATGAGCACCAGCGTGTAGATGGTGTTTACAAATTTCTGGAGCCCGAGCTGAATGAGAAGCAGCGCGATTTGAATGAACGATATTGTGCTTTTGCCACAACTGGGGCAGCATGGACGGTAATACAGCGACGCACGGAGCAGCTGGGGCATTTCAATCGCAGTTGGGATGAGTATCGAGCAGGTTTTGGCAGCTTGGAAAGAGATTTTTGGTTTGGCAACGAGTTCATTCACCGACTTGTATATCGCGACGATTACGAGCTGCGCATCGAGCTGCAGGATCACCTCGATGTTACGGTGTGGGCCGAATATGGAATATTTCGGCTGGATAGCGAAAGTTACAACTATCAATTGGTTATTGGCAAACTTAATGAAAATAGCAGCACGTCTGATGCTCTCAGTTACCACAATCGCATGGATTTCAAGTCCAGCGACTGGAATGGTGACTGCTCTGGATGGTGGTTTGATCACTGCCTAGAAGCTCAATCCAATTTAAATGGTCAGCGTATTATATGGGGAAACTGGCACAACGAATATTTGGTGAAAGCATCGCGTATGTTGATACGGCCGCGCAACTTTAATTCGTTAAATACCGACAATGATTATGACGAGGATTCCCCGTATAGCTTTTAGTTTCAAAAATAGTGTCAGCGACATTAAAAAATAGGATTAAGCAATTGTATCTCGTCGTACGTACTGGAATATTGCTACAAATAAACGTTACCGCCAAGTTGTTACTATTGCTGAACGCATCCGCAGCAACGTAGTGTCGATGTCTTTCAGTAGATTTTGGTATTTGGTCACACTAGTTTTAAATATTTAATAGGGATTGAAAGCATAATAAAATTGCCTAAACTAACAGGTCAATGACAATCAAACACAGATATTCAATTGCCAAATGACGCTAAAGTTGCATACGTAAATAAATCGTTAATCTATATTTAATTATTTGAAGTTTTTAGACAGGTGTGGCTCTTATAGTGTATCTTCTCTTTTTAGCCTTAAAAATATACAAGTATACATATAAAAAAGCTAAAATGTTATTAGTCTTTTTTAAATTGAAAATCAAATAATTAAAACTGAAAACTTATTACTTCCAATCTGTTATCAAGCGTGGTATTTTTTAAAGTTATTGCCACATTTCGGCGCTTGCAGCCTATGGTCACACAGTCACTTGTTCGTATGCGTGAGAGTGCGACAGCAGTACGGGCGATTGCAGCGCGACTTGCAGTAAAGGAGAAAAATTAAAAGAAGTTGTAAATTGCACACCTTCCACTGCAGCAAAAGTAAAAAAAACGTTGTGTTCATACAAATAAAAATGGCACAAAGGACTGGTTAAGATGCAAAGTGTGATATTTGCGGCACAAGCAAAATAAAAATAATAACAACAACAACAAGGGCAAGAACAAGACGCTAGTGCGGCCACTCCTTTTGTGCCCGTTGTCTCGCTCCAGAATCTGTGAAAATGTATGTGTGTTCGTGCGTGCGTACGTGTGTGTTGTAATTGAAAAAGTAAAGAGAAAAAATTGTGGCTACTGCATTTAATTAAAGAGTAGTTGTGTGTGTAGGCAATAAAAGTGAAAATTCTACAAAGCAGCGTACAAAAATGGCAAAGTGGGTTTTTTTTACGTTTGCTGTCTGCAAAAGCTTAAGCTAACTTAACTAGAGATAAGCGAGCGAACATAGACACGCACACAGATATATACATACGTACACAGTCATCTACATAGCACGGCGGGTGCGCGTGTGTGTGTGCTTGTTTATGACTCACGGCTGGCCCTGCGAGTGTGACTGTCGAGTGAGTTGTGTTAGTGCGAGTGAGAGGGCGCTAGAGCGCTACCTACGGCAACAAAACAACAAAACACGCTTCAATAGAATTTCCCAAGCATTTTAAACAAAATTCCACCATTGCAGAAAACAAAGAACATAGAGATTAAGATTAAGTGAAAGAGAGAGAGAGAGATAGAGAAAATATAAACATGAGTTTTGCCAAGTGGTTCAAGAAGAAGGAGCAAATCTCCGAGATTGGTGCCCCTACAAATTTCCAGAGGCATTTTCATGTCTCACGCAATCAGGAGACAGGCGATCTGGAGGGTCTGCCCACGCCATGGGTGCGCCTGATGAACACACAAATTACACGCGATGAACAGGACAAAAATCCAGATGCCGCTTACCACGCGGTCAAATATTACAATTACTCAATCAAAAAGAAAGAGCAGGAGGTGTTCAAGCCGTTCATAACCGAGGATGTTATACACGAGGAGTCCAAAGAGATTGATAACTATGTCAATTACAAGAACAAACACAAATCGCAAGATATCGATAAATCCGATGACGATGGCAGCGGCAGCTCAACGGCTACCGAGAGTAGCAGCAGCGGCTGTGGCAGTTCCGCCGCGAACAGCAACAGCAGCAGCCTAAACGACAGTAGTCAACAGTCAGTCATTCCGCTGGATGCACTCAATGAAGTGATCAAAGAGCTGGAATCGAATTTGGGCCGTGAAACGCTCAAGCCGATTAAACCGCATAGCGGACTGGAGCCACCACCTGTGCCTCCCAAAAAATCGCCACATCAATTGCCGCCCAAGCCACAAATCAAACCCAAACCTGCGAGCATTATACAAAACAAACTATCACGTGATCTGCGTGGCCATGATGGAGAGCTGCAGAAGATCAACACAGATACCATTATCATCAAGCCCGCGCCTCCAGGCAGTGGCAGCCAAGAGGGTAGCATCGATGCCGATGCGCCGGAGGAAACAATTTTGCGTCGCTCCAAGGAGAAAAGATCACAGAAAACAGATGCAGAGATCTATGATGAGCTGCGAGCCATATGCAATCCAGAAGATCCGCGTGAGCGTTACAAAACTAGCCAGGAGGTGGGCAAAGGTGCATCGGGTATTGTGTTTATAGCTGGCGATAAGCAAACGGAATCCCAGGTGGCAATCAAAACAATTGAAATGAAAAATCAATCCTCCAAGGATCTCATATTAACCGAAATACGTGTGCTCAAGGATTTCAATCACAAGAATCTGGTTAATTTCCTCGACGCATATCTGCTCGAGCCCGAGGATCAGCTCTGGGTGGTCATGGAGTATATGGATGGTGGTCCATTAACAGATGTTGTCACCGAAACCGTGATGAAGGAGCGTCAAATTGCGTGCGTCTGCCGTGAGGTCCTCTATGCGATTAGCTTTCTGCATGCGAAAGGGATCATACATCGAGACATCAAATCAGATAACGTGTTGCTCGGTATGGATGGCTGTGTAAAGGTAACAGACTTTGGCTTTTGTGCCAACATCGAAGGCGATGAGAAACGTCAGACCATGGTGGGCACACCCTACTGGATGGCCCCTGAGGTGGTGACACGCAAAAAGTATGGGAAAAAGGTGGACATCTGGTCGATTGGCATTATGGCCATCGAAATGATTGATGGTCAGCCGCCGTATCTGTATGAGACGCCGCTACGTGCACTCTATCTAATTGCGGCCAATGGACGACCAGAAATCAAGAGCTGGAGCAAGCTGAGTCCCAACTTGCAGGATTTCCTCAATCGTTGCCTGCAGGTCGATGTCGATTGCCGGGCCACAGCCGATGAGCTGCTCAAGCATCCATTCCTCGATGATTGCAGCGAGGTGAAGGCTCTGGTGCCCAACATTAAGGCTGCCAAGAAAGTGCTCCGTCGCAATGTATAGTTAATGTGCCAACAGCATCATCGAGCTGGCCAATTGCTCTTTGCGTGATGTGACCCACTCTACCAATACAATCGTCCTGTATATCCGTATATTCGTATATCCTGTTTGAACCCCACTCTCCACCTCATTTGGTAGACGTTCTTCTAAATCTGTGTAAATTTCGACAAACAAAACAAAACTGGAACAAAATGCTGATTAGTCTTTCATGTAGTCAACAACAGGAACAACAACAACAACCGTATAAAATCACGATATCTCTATCTATATATACAAATTTGCATGTATATCAATCAGTTCGCCTGTCGATCAGTCCAACTGACGCACGCATTGCACATCGCTGGACGATAATAACGTTAATTGGTAAGTTTCCGACGCTATTCACAAATTCATTATGAATATATATATTTACTTATATGTATATATCCATAACATTTTTTCCATCTGATCGATGATCTATGTGAGCTCAAAAATTGAATATTTATGAATTTGTGGTGAACTATTTACCTAGTTATCTTATCTAATGTATTCTAAGTTTTTGTTTTTAGTAGTAGACAAGTTGGATAAGGTCTTAGAAACCTTTTCTTGTAGAGTTAAAAGCTGTAGGAGAAATGGTTGAAGAACACATTTTACTAAATAAACCGTTTTCCAGCGGAAACAAGCAAAAGATCTAACTTCAATTAAACTTATTGCTAAGGTAAACTTTATTAAATAATATAAAAATTAAGTTAAGATTTTCTTGTAGCTTTCCACTACTTTGCCGGTTATTTAATGGATATTGCCAAGAAATATCTCAACATTTTAATATCATAATTACAAATTTTACCAAAAAAAAAAAAAAAACATTGAAAATTTGCTTTACAATATTCCATTAAATCAGTTAATTCAGAGATAGTTGCTATGGCATCTGTGGATATCCGTCACATGTAGACAATATTGTCTTGCAATCTACGGGGCCATCTAAAAAAACAGGTTTCCAATACAATAGACAAGTCCAGTCTTATGTATCAGTGAAAAAATAAAATAACAAATGCTTCAAGTGAAGGGTCACTAGTTGGCGATAGGTTGTATAAAATGAGTTTATGAGTTGGCCTAATCAGTTGATATACCTGTGAAACAGATTAAATGCGATCAAGGTCTCGTTCAATATTGTAAACATATTTACCTGTGACTGTTTGTGCTACATATGTATATGACTAAACACATATCTTGCGCTAACATCTTTTTTATTTTTGCATCATAACTGTTGCATTTGCATTTGAATCATCAGCTTAAGTATACCAGTTCTTTGGTACAAATTATGTTTTCTTCATTGTGGCTAAGTTAAAAATAAACTCAAGTCAATAGAAATTTAATATTTACATTACTCGTCCTAGTGATGCGTAATTGCTTATCGATAACTTAAAAAACTTGTGCGTCATCAACTTCGACTAAAGCTTCTCTTTCACCAAAAGCAGCATACGCTTATGCTAACGGCTGAAAAAGTAAGGTCCATTGAAAACTAGCACATAAACACTGGCACACAGGCATACATATATTATCAAATGTGTAGCAACAACAAGTGCGTATGTGCGCCAGCAGCTAACCAACGCCATTAAATACGCTCGTTCGCATTTCCTGTTGGACAGCAAAGAAAAGACTTGAAATAACGCATTGTCTGCCAAAAAGAAACAACTTTTTTAAATAAAAACTCGTACATAATCATTAAAAAAATACTTTCAATTCACACACTGCGGACAAAAGCAGACAGCAACACCTACACACACATGCTCCGCTTTTTCTTTATATTTCTTTTTGCCTTATCAAACAGCACTTGGGCAACCGCGCAGTTGGCACACACTCAGGCACACGCATGCATATCTTAGCTATCTTAAAATCCCCGTTGCTTTTATCAAATTCTTAGAACGTTTGTTGGTATGTTAACTTGATTTTGATAAACGCGAAAAAAAATGAAAAACTTGCTGTGATCATTGTCTAGCTAAAAGACGTGCTCAGTGCCAGTGTTGCTGTGCAGCTAATTGACGCCATAGTAGAAGTCGTTGTAATGTCTTTGCTATTGTCTTTCTTTCTTTACTTCTTTCCGTTTGTCTGGCTGCATTTTTCCATCACTCACCGCCATCCACTTATTGAATTTAATTGCTTGTGCAGTGGCGGCGGCGAACGCTGCATGGATTGGACGTTCCTCTGTGCTATTTTTACGCTCTCACTGTTACTGTGCGTCGCTCTAGCTCGCTCGCTCACTCTTACTCGGTTGCCCTTTTCATCCCACACACACTTATACATAATTATATATATATAGAGTGCGTGCAGTTTTCTACCGGATCTTCGGCTGTTTATTTGTTTATATTAGCGGCAAATACTTTTGCTTTCCGTTTTGCTTTCCTACTCCCAAAAGCGGCAACAGCCATAGGTACTCTCTTCAATTATATATATACATATGTATACAATATATGTATTTGTTTATAATTTCGCAAAGCGTTAGCTTTTTTGTATGCCAAGTGTCTTAGGGATGACAATATTGATAACAACAACAGTAGCAGCAAAGGCAATTCGACGCCGGCAGCACAATGAATAATCGCTTGCAAATACTTAATTCAGGAAATCAATATTGGCTTTTAAATTGCATGTGCCTTACACATGTACACAAACATACATATGTAAGTACACAAGCATGTATGAGTACATGTGTATACGTTCGCTTGGGAGCATTTCCAGTTGCATGCTGCTTCTTTGCCGGCTCCAGTTGTTACTGCGGCTGCTGTTGCTGCAGGGAGTGGCTCTGCTGGGGCCAAAGTACAATTTCCAGTCAAGGTGTATGCGTAAAGCCTTGTAAAAGGCCCTACACATATACACTATACATATGTAGGGGCACACGCATTTGTCTTTCATACCTAGCGCTAAATATTTTTGACTCTTTCTGTAAACGACATTGAAGGGCAGCCATTCATGCTTTTGTATATTTCATGTAGTTTTACTGGCAGTTTGTTGTATTTGCCTAAGCAAACGCCCAAAAACAAAAAAAAAACTAAAGAATGACTAAACCCAATTCCATTATGCGTTCAATTTTTATACGTCGCTCGCCACCCCACCCCATCACTCCCCACTCTGATAATTTCACCTTGCGCGTAAAAGGTTTTACTTTATATGAACGTTTTGGTTTTTTCTGTGTCTGTTTTGGCTTTGTTTCGTTTATTGAACCACCATATGACTCTCATGCCTTGGGCTCTGGCTGCTCTCCTTATTGTTGTTGTTACGGTTGATACGCGGAATTGTAGATGATTCATTCAATGTGTATTTTGGTGGGGAGGAACTTCGTGTTGTGAGCTCGTTTTTTATAACAAACATGGCAACCGACATCCGTACGCCCGCAACTGCAACCGCGTTTGACATTTTTCATAAGTACAAACAAACTTATGTATCACGCAAATGCAAAGCAATATAATTTTATAATTAATCTGTTACTAAATTTTTAAGTAATATTACGTACGATATTACAGAGCTTGGTCTTGCAAGTCTCATCAATTGCATTGTTTTATTGTATTGTGTGACTTATACAACAAATTCCACATGCACTCCACATGACGACACAACAACAACAACATTAGCAACAGCAGCAGTTGTTGGGCTTTCATAGCGGTTTTCGTAGCCTGCAATGATATTTTTGTTGCCACTCTCAAAACTGGAGCATGAAACTTTGTATTTTTTTTAAAGCATAAATCAGCTGGTGATTTTGCTGCTGCTGCTGCTGTTTTCTGTTCTCATTTGCATGAAAACTTCAGATAATTGCCGATATAACTGTGTTTATACTCAGTGTTTGATATGTATTAAAATAGGGTATATTAGTGTTGTTCGATATATATACCCTAAAGGTATTTCAAGCTGAGTGTGGGACGACAAAGCCAATAATTGGTTTCCGTGTGAATGGCAACGGGATCAACTATGCATGTGGAATGTAAATAGACGGAATCGATACTTTGGCACAGTAAATAGAATTCAAAATCCATTGTTCATTTGCCGTTCTCATTTTTGTAATGTTATTTTTGTCAACGGAAAATTGTGTGGAAAATGATGCTGTGAAAACGCGCATCATCTCTCTTATCTATACAAATTATAAATATAACACAAACAAAAGTACAATGCGAGTCGAGTGGCACGGACACAAAATGTCGCTGGGGTTTTCATTGAAATTTAAGCGTGACTTTCGCGCGGGCGCTTCACATGTCGATAAATGCACACATACATACATAAATACACACAAATGCATATATAGAAATATAAATATATGTATGAAAACAATTATTGCGCTGATAATTGACCGTATGCGCTAGCAACGCGCTTCCAACGCTTTAACAACAAATACAATATATAAATAAATAAAATAACAATAACAAGGCAACTTATTGTATTTTGTATGCGCCACCAAACAGACGCTAATAAAACAAACCTGTTGCGCTTAGCGGGCCGCACAATCAATATAAATACTAATAATCAAAAAGGAAGAAATAGTTGTAATTATGCAAAAATTGTGTAGATAAGCGCAACAATGCCATAATTGCATACCTAGTCCCCAATTCGATTGCAGTCAAGCTCTTCTTCTTCGTCTTCTTGTTACGTATCATTGCCATTCGCAATGTTTCTACGTGTTTCCAACTGTCGCCAGTTCCACTTGAATTTTGTATACGCATATACATGTGTGTAGAAACTTGTATGTATGTATATATTTGGCAGAGCCAGCCTAATCAGCTGTCCATATCGTAATCACATTGATAAACAGCAACAAATTGATAAGACAAGCGAAAATGATATTTTACCATGTTCAATTTTTGTTTTTGCGTTTTTTTAAAATATTTTTTATACACTTGTTTGGTCTTGCCATGGAAATTATGCAACGTTTATCGTTAATTAACAAAGGTCAAAATGTTAATTGAAATAAAGTTCAAGATTGCACACACACACATATATATTTACCTAAATACATACAAAAATTTGATAATATATATGAACATACATAGATGCAGCCATATGTAAATGAGTATCATACATTTAATCCATTCGACGTCTTTCTGTTTGTGCAGACATCACTGCAAATATTTACTTCCCGATTAGTGTTGGGGACAAGTGCACGAGAACTTTTGCAAATAGCTCGTTGAAAACTCCTATCGATTTATTTGTGAGTCTATAAATATGTAAGCCTGTATATACATACATATATACACAAATATATATAGTTGAATGTATGTATAAATGTAAGGTAACTTTAATTAATTCTAGCTGGGATTCCAAATAAGCCATACAGCTGCATTAAAATATCACGTACGCTCCATGCATTAAAATATAGGTGTATTTTGTAGTGTTTTTCCCCTTGCGCCAGATAAGTGACAAAATGTTTACGGAATGCGTGTCTATTGTAGAAGTGGCAAAGAATTATTTGACGATGTAAATGTTTTGGAAAAGAAACAAGTATAACGTTATAGTATGCCTATATGTATATCTGTAGTCAAAGTTTGTTTGGATGCCATGTACATCTGATTCGATATACATGTATAACTGATTCTTTTGGTATTAAATTATTAAATTAAAAAAGACATAGCTGATATACAAATTCATAATTTTTTATATTTAACTCTTTATTAAGGGGTATCTACAACTGTCATTAAGAAAGCAAATTACAGTTTGTCAATCTCTTTGCATGCGTAAGCAGGCAACTAACTTTAATTGAATAAAATTGCTAGCTTAGCAACAAAGAAATAAGCTTAGTCAAAGAAATCAAGTGTATATAGTTATTTATATATATGTAAAATAAAAAAATATACTCTAATTTGAACAGCACGCCACTGACTCATAATAAAATACTAAAAAAGCCGACTCAAATACTTCTGACTCATCGGCAAAGGTTGTAATCGATAACATTTTTAACAAAAATACACATCTCTAATTGCAGCACAAGGCCAATGGGACAGCGCTAATCACGACGAGCCGGGCAAAACGCAGAAAGTGCAAAGCAGTGACGTCACAGCAACAGATGAAAAAGCAGCTAACGATGTTTGGTATTGATGTAGATTAGGACCTTAACAGTTGTTGTACTGTTTTTTAGTCTGCTTACTATATTTTATTTTGCCGGAGACATATGATATACATACATACAATTATAAATACTACTATACAAATAACTATATATATATATATATATATGCATATGTATATGACTGGCTGAGAGTGCCCCTGTGTATACCCAAAGCGGGTATATGCAATACGATTACGATAACGATACCGATAGCATACAATAGTTTAATTATATATGTATTTGACAAACGCATCCAACTGATATATAAAAGAAAAATTAATATTGAAATATTGTAACTGTTTAAGTCGACATTAGATTGATAAATGTTTAAATAGTATATACATATACATAATTGTGATTTAAGCGATTTTATCAAAGCTGCATTATGCAATTCTACATAAAATTCGTCGTAGTATCTAAGTGCAACAACTACAAAAACAAATTTAATATGCAATACTTGTAAATTACCAAAAAAAAAAAAAAAACAAAAACAAATGAAAATTCGTTAAAATTGTAACAAATGGAAATGAGTGTAACAAGTGCCATTAGGACCAGCTAGCAGCAGCGAGAGTGACACTACAACAAGAACAAGAACTAGGCAACAACAACCTACATCCATAAATACAACAAAACATACCCTAACAAAATACATATTCCAATTAATAATTCTTAACCATTTTTAACAACATTAAATCATGTATTAGAGAGCAAGAGAAAAAATATTCCCTATAGAAATTCAAAAGTTGACATGGTTCTATATTCCATTATAAAGTAGTACAAACATAAGCTAAACTCTAAATGAAAAAGGTAAAGAAACAGATCCATCTTATATCCCAAACAAGTTGTCAAAATTCATGAATTTAACAAAAAAGAAAGAACAGAAAAACTGATTTGCCATAAATGTAGCGCACAAATGAAATACGATTAATTGAACAATACAAATGCGGTGTGCTGTTATCTAACTAACGGTAATGTGTGTGTCAAAAAATGATTATTATTCTCTGTAGAGTATATATATATTGTAGGCAAGGCACATACAAATAACTAATATAGTTCCCATGGAAATTTTTCGCGCAGATGCCAAATACAAGAATAGCAAAGATAGAGAAAGGGAAAGAGTGAGAAAGAGAGAGGGAGAGCGAAAGAGAGAAAACTAGAGGTGGAAGATAAGTGAAAGGAAAAAGGTTTAATTCCACAATATTTGTACGTATGTATACCTTAGCCGAAATAATCAACGAGTTTACGTTTTGGCCTTTTCGATTTAGTTGAAATATTTGGGTGCTCTTTCCAAAATTTGTGTTTATAGACCAAAACTTTTAGCTAGTCGCTGGCTTATGGGCTTTATCTAACACGGTTTGATTGGAAAGAGTATGAACATCTTCGGTGCGCCGATGCTTAGCTTTCTTTACTTGTTATATATACATATGATAATATATACAATATTTTTATGCAGTAGCTTTTAGTAGTATTTTTTACTCGTTTCCAAAAATCCACATAAAGTCAATGGGATTTGCATTTTGCGATTTTAGTAGCCAATGACTGATGCTTATGGGTCATAGTTCAATTACAAAATTAATACAAATCAACAAAAAAAAGAACCACAACAGCTCCTATTTTAACGCAATGCAAAGTTCACCCTGTGATTGCAACAACAAGTGTGGAACAAAAAGTGGAAATGTTTCCATTTTGACAATACTTTATTTTTAAGTATTTTTGATCGATACCGATACCGACACGAAATTTGCAATCACAGGGAGGGCAAAATTTTAGCAAAGAAAATATTTAAAAACAAAAATTACATTCAGTAAATAAGTACGTAAATGCATTTTTGCATAATTTAGAGCTTAAATGAATTATTCATTTTGATTAGATCGCTTAACGACGACGAGGAGCAAAGCGTCTTATATAGGCAAAGGCAACGAACGATAAGTATTTTTTTTGAATACACTGAGAAAAATATATATAGAAAAGTATTCTGAGCCAGTTGGCAGTTAACGCAGACATACCCGAACATACATAATCGCAAGCGCATTTAACTAAATAACGAAAATAATAAACTTAAAAGAATTCAACGAAACGAAATGAAACTTAAGTCTTTAAATGGTAGCATAATTTTTTATACGCAATTTTTTATTGCAATCGTAAAAAAAAGAAGCAAAATAAGAATACTGTCAGTCATCCAAAATTTTGATAAAATCCTTAATCCGTTGTATCCCTAACTTATGAAAAGAAAATATGCAAAGATCTATATATAGATATAATATTATATACATAATATACATACAAACAATTGGCGCTATTTCGATTTAACTGTAGTTAAAAAACATATGCATAATTACATACGCCAATTGATATACATAAAATATTAATTAAATAAGTACATGCAAATACTACAGAACTATACAAAAATCATGTGTGTGTTTTTTCAATACGTTTTATTCTTATTCTCTTTGTGTTTACTCTGCGTTTGCACAGAAAATTCCATTTAACGATTTTTTTATTATTTAAATGCATTTTTTTTGTCTGCAATTGCTTAACTAAGTCGTAATCGTATATTACACACTTAACTATCATTATATAATATATTTACATTAATTTGCAATCTATTATACATTTTAATTTTAGATATCCTGAGTATGAGAAAATGATTATGCATATATTTAGTTTTAATTCACACACCCACTATGATAATTCACCGTCTTTTAAGCGAACGGTTATTTACAATTTTATACGCACAACTTGTATGTATTATTTTAGTTTGCACTGTAATTTTTATTTTGTGTTGTTAAATATATCGTTATTTACTTATTCGACCAAAGCACTTTTATCTATTAATTCTTTTCCCATTAGCAAAAGTGACTTCAGCGTTAACTGGATTTATATTGTAACAAATATACCATCTTCTTTGAATTCGCTCATAAAATTCCTTATAAGTCGAAAAATGTCCCTGGAAATTTACTTTGCAAGTAAACAAGCGGAGCTGGCGTATTTATAAAGAACTTAATTTGTATATTCTTGCGGTATATGCTGTGATCTACAATTTAAAGCTGCTGGAAAAAAATTAAATTGGTTTTACTAATTTAGTACAATTGTGCAATAGTACTATTGCACCCAAATGATGTATAATATATTATTTTGAAATACCTTGCTTGAGATGGGAAAGTTTGACTAAAGATGATGAAGTTACATCCACTGCTTGCAACTATAATTCCCGCTATTCGCCCGGAAAAGGCGAGAAAATAGTTAAATTGGCAGCGCTGATTATATGAAATCGTTTATTTCTAAATTTCCCTTTAAACCAACAAAAATAAAACTGAAAATGCACAAATGTAAAATCAAGCACCACATTTATTAAAAGTTGCTAACAAGTTTACCATGAATGTTGAGGTAATCAACCGTAATTTGTAATTATAGCCAAATATCCTCACGATATTTGCCTTGCGTACGCAGCTCTTTGAGATGATGTGTGGCTTGCGTTTCGTCTAGGCTTAGAACCTGTTGTAGACAGCAACGCAGACTATCTTCAATGGATTTGGAAATTTTTGCACCATCTGCACAAACGTATAAAATAGTTGTGGGTTGCTGCAGCAGCTCAACAAGCTGCTCCGCATCCTGTTGCAACAATTGCTGCACATATTTCGGCTGCTCAGCCACCGAGCTACGGGAATAGCAAAGACGCAGATGCTGTAGGATTGAATTTTCTTGCCAGATGACCAGTTGCTCTTGTTTGAGCATAGCCTGTGGCGTCTTGGCGCCAGCATAAAGCCAGGTTTGACCTGTGGCGTGTTGCTGACGTAGTTGCTTGTGCTCCAGAAAGCCTAGAAAAGGGGCCAAACCCGTGCCCACAGCTATAAGAATTTGATTGCTTGTCAACTCGCGATCGGTATAACGGAATGCATTCGGCATGCGCGGATAAACATAAAGTTGGACTGGCTTCTGCTGCAGCAAGTACTGTTCAACCTTGGCTTCGAGCATGCTAGTCGTGACGCCAGGGTTGTGTGCGCGTATGGAGTAAACTATACGCAGCTGGTGCGCGCTCTCCAATGGGCTGTTAGCTATAGAATATGGGCGGGGTAGAAGGCGTGGTAAATGTTCTACTAGTAGGGCTAACGTTGGCTGACAGCTGGCGCATAGCTCCAAAAGATCCAGAAAGCATAAGCCACGTTCCAATATGAGTGTCTGATAGTGGGCGACGCCTTGTTTGGAGGAGAGACTCGCCAGAAAAGAGCGCTCCTTCAATTCACTGGTGTAGCTGGCCAAGGCGCTGAGGAACTGTTTTTGCGGTACTGAGCGTAGCGAGACGCAATACGTTAGAATCTCTCGTGGAGTAGTCAGCGCGGGTATGTGAGCGGGCACTTTGGCGCTTTTCTTGGCGCAGTTTAAGGCGAGATTCACATGGCACGCGCTGTCCGCTTGCTGGGTCAAGTTCAGGCGTTGCAGTACTTGAGCCACAACCTGCGGTGAGTTGCTGGGTAGTATGGCCACTGTATCTCCGGGCTCGTAGTCTAGCTCACCCAATGATGCTATGTCCAGCGTTAGTTCTACAACACGCTTTGTTTCAGTAGTAGCATCGGCTGCCACGAGCACTTTGGCATCTGATATCAACACTACCATTGGCGTATAATCAGCACGTGCGAAAGGAAACTTTAAGGCACTGCCGCAACTCAGCTGACCGCATGGATCAAGCTGTGGCGTAATTGAGGTCTGTAACATGACTTGTTAAGCGCAATACTCAGTGAAATAGTACACACTAACCTTTTCTGTAACGCTAAAGACAACTTCGAGATTACTTTCCAATGGTTTGGCAGGCACATATTCAGTCAGTGTATGTTTGTCAATTTCCACATCAAGTGGCGAATACAATTGTTCAACGCCAACCATTCTGATATTTACAACGGCTCAAGTGTGACCGCTCTTAGTTTTAACAAAAATTGTAAAACCAATTAACACATTGAATGCGGGAGTACAAGTGATTTGATTTATTCAGAGAATACTTGATTACAATTTAATCTACTTTGAATATATTGACTGTTACTACAGAAGAAAATATTAAATATGCATATATTAGTGCGTTTTGTACGTTACAAACCAATCATCGTTTAAGCTTACGCCCACCTCTAGTTAAGTGCTGCTGTACTATAAAAGAATAAATAACCCTACTTACAGCCGTAAGTCGGTGTGTACACACTAACCGAATGTTAAATTAAAAAACAGCAAACGCACAATAATACAAATCATTGCTGCCGAAATTTCTAGTATAAATTGAAATTAAAAACGCGGTGACGGCATGGCAGACAAGGCTACAAATGATGAAGAATTCCAAGATGCGGTAGACGAGCTCACGTCGCCCATACAAAAAGTAAACCCCAATTCACCAGATCATGTCAAATTGATTGATGACATTATAGAAAAGAATAGTAAACTACGTCTTGCGGATGGAGAAGGAGGCGCCGTGGGTGGCGAAGAGGAGAACAATAAGGACGATGACGATGATAATAGCGGTGATAAAAGTGATGTGATACAGCCCGATGGAGAACTTAGCTTGGAGGAGCTGCAACTGCAGGAGAAAGAACTGAGTGCCGAACAACTCGAAGCTAACAAAGAGAAGGCGAACAAACTAAAACTCGAAGGCAATGAGCTCTTTAAAAACGATGAGGCCGAACGTGCTGTTACATTATATACAGAAGCACTGAACATTTGCCCCTCCATAAATAGCAAAGAGCGTGCTATACTGTTTTGTAATCGTGCAGCGGCCAAAATGAAGTTGGATGCTAACAAAGCCGCAATTGGCGACTGCACACAGGCCATACAACTCCATCCGGTATATGTGCGTGCGTTATTACGGTAAATATTTAATATAACTAGAAGAAATATAGTTTTAAACCTTATTTTTTGAACAGGCGAGCCAAGCTATACGAGCAAGATGACAGACCAGATGAAGCGTTGACAGATTACAAGCGAGTATATGAAATTGATCCGGGTCAGCCTGAGGCACGAGAGGCTCAAGTACGTCTGCCAGCTTTGATAAATGAGCGCAATGAAAAACTGAAAACCGAAATGATGTCCAGTCTAAAAGGCTTGGGCGATATGATATTGAAGCCCTTTGGTTTGTCTACCGCAAATTTTCAAATGCAGCAGGATCCTAATTCTGGTTCATATTCCATTAATTTTAATCAAAATAAGAGTTAGTATGAAATACCGTGACAAGTTTGTTAAAGGAATAAAGTTGGATAAACCATGAAAAAGGCGTGGGAGCATTTTGCTGTCCAGCTGATTGCGGTTGAGCCAGTGTGTACTAATTTTGTCACCGCGTGCAACAGTGTGACCACTCGTTTTAGGACAGCTGACTTTGACACCTGCTGTCTTCGTACTAAAAGCGGAAGAAGAAGAATCGTTTATAGAAAATAGAAATTTTAAGTTCATAAAGATTTACAAAATTAGTGTCGTTTATTTGACGTGAAGTTTTCGCAAACCTGCGTAACGTAGTGGGCCCATCGCGATTACAAGTGGTGCACAATTTTCAGCTCTCTCGAGTGCCAATGAGCTATTTGGAAAGTCTATTGTGTTGTTATGACTCTGTAAATAATAATTATAGACTAATGCTATTCTATTATTAGTATTGAGTGTACCCAGTTTATGTTGCAGTTAAAGCATAGTGTTTATTAATACTCGCATAATGTTTCGCAGCCGTAGCTGGTTTGGCGGCCCTTGGGGTGGACGCCCCAAAAATCGGTTGTCATTGGAGCATCTAAAATACCTGTACAGCATATTGGAAAAGAACACAACCGTCTCGGAAAGCAATCGTGGATTGCTGGTTGAATCATTGCGCTGTATTGCCGAGATTCTAATCTGGGGTGATCAACATGACTCCCTGGTGTTTGAGTAAGCACTGCGGTTTATAATTTAAATTTATTGTAAAATTGACTATTGTTATTTGTATAGTTTCTTTTTAGAGAAAAACATGCTCTCGTACTTCCTGCACATTATGCGTCAGAAGAGCGGCGGCTCTAGTTACGTTTGCGTCCAACTACTCCAGACACTTAATATTCTCTTTGAAAACATCAGAAATGAGACGTCACTGTGTATGTACAAGTTTGTTTATTAGTATATTGGAATGTAGATCGCTTTAGGCAAACATTTATGTTAACCAGACAACTCTGTTACGTTTAAAGAGTGCACGCTTATTGTTTACATTTAGAGCATATAACAGTTCTCTTTCTATGCATGTATAACAAATGTTTTACAGTGGTGGCTCGCATGTTAGATTTTCCTAAACGGTGCTCCTCCGCTTTAAATTTGAAATTACAAAGTTTTGCTGCTGTTAAATAATATATATAATTTTTTTTTCAGATTATTTGCTAAGTAATAACCATGTCAATTCCATAATGGTGCACAAATTTGATTTCTCCGATGAGGATGTTATGGGCTATTATATACTCTTTCTAAAAACATTGAGTCTCAAGCTCAACACACACACTATACACTTCTTTTACAACGAGGTTGGTACTCTTAAATATATTTTAATATATTTAAAACTTTTTAATTTTTGTTTTTTTTTTTCAGCACACAAATGACTTCCCTCTGTACACGGAGGCTATTAAGTTCTTCAATCATCCCGAGTCGATGGTACGCATTGCAGTGCGCACAATTTCCTTAAATGTGTACAAGGTGCAAAATGCGAGCATGTTGCGTTTTATTAGAGACAAGTGAGTGGATAAATCTAAGCAAAGATAATACGTGTTTAACTTTATTTTTTACATTTATTAGAACGGCGGCGCCTTACTTTAGCAACTTAGTTTGGTTTATCGGCAAGCACATATTGGAGCTGGACACCTGTGTGCGTACAGATATAGAGTAAGAAATGAATAAATATTCCCATAATTTTCTTACTTAATTTGAATCTTTATTTCTTTACAGCCACCAATCGAATCAGAAGCTATCCAATTTAGTTGCGGAGCATCTTGATCATTTGCACTATTTGAGTGATATTTTACTGTTGGATATCAAGGACTTGAATGCCGTGCTCACCGAACATTTGCTGCACAAGCTGTTTGTACCTTTGTATATATTCTCTTTAACGCCAGCTCCGCCGCCTCCCTCGTTGGCTGTGGTCACACAGAATTTGGCAGCTGTTCTAAATCGCAATGTGGATATTGACATACAGGAGATGCATCATCCGCGGGTTAGCTCCATTGTGGCTCTCTATTTGCTGTCGCTCGTCTTTTTGGTTGTCACTCATGCGCCGCTGGTGCACGCCCTGGCGTGGGTCATATTAAATGGGGATCATAGTGTTTTTAAAGAGGGAGCTGCCGAAATACTCAACTCGTATGTGGAGCATCGTGAGGTAGTGGTGCCGAGCTTTGGCGAACCACACGAGAGTCTTGAACAGGCATTAGACACGGTTGTAGGCCATACGGCTAACTACAGTGGCGATGCAGTTAGCGAGGACAGCGGAGTTGAGTCAACACCAGCAGCGACAGCTTCACCTACAAGCGGACACATAGAAACTGTAGCCGAGGCTGCGGCCACCCGGTTGCGCAATATTACCGATGAGGAGAAACAGCTGCTACAACAGTCTACATCAGCGCAGACCTTTTCTGAACTTCCTAATCCATTTCTGGACACTGTGCTGCAGGCGCTTGACTGTACGGAAAATGATTATTTAGCTCTGTTATCCCTCTGCCTCATTTACGCGATGTCCCACAATCGAGGTGAGTTCGACTGTGACAAAGTCTATAGATTAAAGCTACGCTTTAGCTGCTCCGGTTCTCAGCTAACTGTGCCTCTTTCACGTGTCTCTCTCTTTCTGCTCATTTCATTGCTTTTTGTGTGTGGTATGAAAATATTTCAAAAAATAAAATGCGTACACAACATGGCACCCTTTACCAGATGGTATGTAACTTGTTCATTCCCCCATACTAATGTATTACATGTTTGCCAAAGAGCTGCATTACATTCGGCTTATTTATAACTCTTGTACCTATTCGCAGGCATGAAGAACGAGTGGTTCGAACAGGTGCTGTCCAAATCGATGCGAGGCTCGTTTAGCTATAAGACGGCAATAATTGAACATCTGCTTAATATTATCACGCAATCCAGTCTGCCATGTAAGTAGATCTAGCTCTTTCATGCTTTTTTACATTATTAATATTACTTTGATGATCCGTGTTACAGCCTGTCGCATTCGATTAATCACAGCTGAGATAGCATTGGAGCTGTTGTTGACTTTCACCAAGCCCTCCACAGATGAGGCACCCTTTATAACGCCCTCGCAGCAGGGTTTGCTGTTCAGTGCTCGTAATCAGTCGATGGTTGTGCTGCGTAACTTTTACAAGTCGGAAGATATATTCCTCGACCTTTTTGAGGATGAGTACAATGAGATGCGTAAGGCGCAGCTGAATGTCGAGTTTCTGTGTATGGACTCGACCATTCTGTTGCCGCCCACGGGCACACCTCTAACGGGGATTGGGTTTACACGTCGCCTGCCTTGCGGCGAGGTAGAGAAGGCTCGTCGAGCTATACGCGTCTACTTTCTGTTACGTCGTACGTGCCAAAAGTTCTTAAATGAAAAGGAAACGCTGCTACCACTGACGAATGTGGTGAATCTGGTGCAGGTGGACAATGTGCTCGATCTGAGTGAGTATTTGATGATCAGTTCTGGTATTCAATTGATTACATGAATTTATTGTTTGTAGATAATAGTGATTTAATTGCCTGTACGGTCGTCTCTAAGGAGAATGCGAAACAACGGCGTTTTCTGGTTATTGATGCACTGCAGCTCATACTCGTGGAGCCGGATGCCAAGTTATTGGGCTGGGGCGTGGCCAAGTTTGTAGGTTTTTTACAGGACGTCGAAGTGCAGGGCGACAAGGATGACTCACGATGCCTGCATATCACAGTACATCGAGGTGGAGTAACACATAATCGTACGCCGCTTCTGTCCGCAAAATTTCTGTTCGATGATCACATACGTTGCATGGCGGCCAAGCAGCGTCTTACGAAAGGACGCAGCAAGGCTCGTCAAAAGAAAATGTATCAGATTGCCCAGCTAATTGAAATACCCGGCCAGCTAGACTCTCCGCTGTATCCAGTGTGTGCCACTTCAACACATTGTGGTAACGCGCGTCTGGCCCAAAAGAGCGCCAATTTAACTGCTACTCGAGTGCCCGGGTTCGCAGCTGTACTTCGTGGCAACAACAGTGCCGGCATCAGTCGTACTCAGATGGCGCAGAATCGTTCTATAGAGGGGTAGATATTATTGAAATGTTTTATATAGAAATCAATTTTATATTTTTAAAATTTTAGTATACGTAATGAAAGCGGCAGTCGCTCACGACGGAAAAGTCCTAATGCCGGGTCCAGTTCAACATCGTCACTGCGGACGGGCAATGTCTCACTGGATAGGGACCGTTCACCCAGTGTGAGCGGAGCAAGTCACAGCTCGTCGCAGTCCAGAGAAAACTCGCAGGCGCGCGGTTCCGGTAATCGCTCCCGTGAGAGCAGTCCACGTATGCCAAGACCACGGTTCGTGTAATTAACGCGATTTAATTATTTGTACTTGGTTTATCTAACTTTTATTTTATTTGCTTGGCAGCTCTGAGGAAATCCCCTTAGAAGATTTTCCGCACTCACGTAATAATAGTCCACATTCGCGGGGCACTGTGGGTAATCCATCTCCATCCTCACGCTCACATACTCCATCACGTGTGTTGCACTTCGATCAGATATCGGTGCACAGTGGCTCTCCACGGGAACCATCATGTTTAATAGGCACGAATGCATTGCTGAGCCAATTAAATGGTAGTGTAGCCATTGCTAGAGAAGTGATCCCAGTTCAAAGCTCCGAGGAGACATCCTTTATAGGCAATGATATAGATGCAGAAAACAGACGAAAGGGAAGAGGCAACATTGAAACGGTTTAATAACAAATTTTTTAATATTGCAATACCATTGCTATTTACTGTGCATATTGTGAGAGTTAAATTGTCGCTACAATTTTGTTATTCCAATTAATGTTAATTTAGTATTGATTTAGAAATAAACGTTGATTTGACGAATTTAAAATTTTAAAACTATGCAGAATAAAAACGGTTTTACATGATTACAGCTGTTATACCTTTTATATATGTCGATATCGATAATTTTAATCGTTATCGCGAAGCAGCTGTGGCTTGTTTTGTGAATCGACCGGGTGACATAACCCCCAACGTTTTGCTTAATAATACTTAAAACAAACTCAAACTGAAATAAAAATGTCTAACTTTAAATATAGCGAGCTTATTAAGCTCGGCACACAGTATGCGCGTCGTATGAATTATCTGTCGAATCGCATATTTGGCGAGGTGGCGCGCACTACAAACGACAAGTCAATGAAGGTCTAAAACTGAACTTTGTATTTTATTTATTTAAAATTATAAATAATTGGATATTTTGCTGACAGGTTGTACGCATGTTCTCAGAGGAGCCCATACATAAACGAGACTATGTGGTCAACTGGTATCCCCGACATGTAGAAACCCATTTGTTGATGAAAAATTTGCGGGATTATGGACTGTTCCGCGATGAGCACCAGGATTTCAAGGAAGAGATGAAGCGTTTGCGGAAACTGCGTGGCAAAGCGGCGCCCAAGAAGGGCGAGGGTAAACGATCAACTAAGAAATAGAAAATAGACGCACTAAAAATCATTTCATTTGCCTTTTTTTTATTAAATTCGATTAAGCAACTTCTTTGGGTGTCAGCAATTTAGCATTACCCGCGAAGACAACATCATCGTGCTGTCTACATTCGTACTCCACAGTCGCGATTTTACGCGCTTTGATTAGACGCACAGTCACTATTGTGTCCGTTTCTACACGACATGGTTTCAAGAACTTAAAGCTCTGCTCGAGTACCACAGTGCCTGGTCCTGGCAATTGAGTACCTATTATGCCAGCAACTACTGCATTAAGCAGTGCACCATGAACACGGCGCTCTGTAATGGGCATGTCCTTGCTATGTATATAATTAGAATCGCCAGTAAATTGAGAAAATGTTTCAAGGTCCTGCTGTGTAAAGCGTTTTATCACTTGAACCTGTTTTAGTTTGGATTGTGGTTGGCTGCACAGCTGTCGTCGTAGCTGCAGTAGCATTGTGGAGCTCGGTTATCTCGGTTCGAGAACCAAAATCTTCCAGGAAAACTATGCAAAGCTTAACAACGCGTTCGTCGTTCGAGGATTCACGCCAATGTTGCACTCGCTTGAGCAATTCCGGTGTTATGATTTGTTGCTTGCTGCTCAATCCTGCGCTCAATAGTTGATAATAAAGTGCCAGGCTATGTAGTACGAAATCGGCTTTATCGGTGCTTAGAAATACGTTTCTGAGTATGGAAATTTTTTCAACTATGAATTTGGCGGTGTTTTTGTCTGTGAATTGCGAAGGTACAATGATAGCAATCTAGCTTATTAACTGAAAAAAACTTTACCCAAGCAAAAATTGCACAGAGCTGCTACCGCATGTAGCTGAAGGATGGGGTTCTGTGTGTCAAGAGCTGCGATGAAGACATTCAAAGCTTCGGCTTCATGCAGATATGGCCAGTTTATTGGATCGTAAGCAAAATTTGCCAAGTTAGCGGTTACCTGCTCCAAGGCCTCTGGTAGCGACATATCGACATTGTTAGCAGTGGTGCAGGAGTTGGCGCAGCAAATACTTACCAACGTTTGTGGATGTGTAATATTCATCCACGAGGTGTCCAATATATTCACGTCGGTCTATGCCCTCTGCCGGTGTCTTGCGTTTTAAGTGCCGATGGCTGGAAAACATGTAGAATTATAAACTACAATTATAACGCAACAGGTTTGTTTGAATAATGTTGCTATTTGCGTGTAAACGTAGACATTCTGTGAAAATCTTAACATAACAGCTACTGTCTTTAACAGAGCGCGAGACATTGAGAAATGAATGAGAATTAATATAAAAATTTATACAAGAATCCCTATGACTTTTCTAATAATAACTTTAAGTCAGGATAATTATTAATAGACTCAAATAAAAAGCGGAGGTATAAGAAACGTTTTAATTTAATTATCAATTTGTACATAACAGAGTTACTCCACGCATAAAAGTTCCGCTCCACATAAATTCATACATCCTGGGAATATTAGAAACACTATCGAAAAGTAGTTTAGTTTTTGTAGATATTTTTGAAAATAAGTTATCGATTTTCAATGAGAAAATTTTGATTATAGCGTGTACAAACAGTAAATAATTTGTCAGCTAAACATCAGCGTGTATGTACAAAATTCAACACTCCAAATGTCTTAATCCCCCGATCGCTAGGTACTAACGTTGCAACCAGTATCCTTGTTGGAATTATTTGAAAAATAGTTTAAAGCTGCTGCAACTACTTTCGGTGGTATGTTAAACAATGGATGTGTGGGTAGAAGTTCGTTCCGAAGATCACCAAGCACTTGTGGATGCATCGCAGACTCCGAATGCTGTGCAATAGAAACGCCACTCAGCGTGTAACAGGTGTGATATAGATCTTGCGGTCTACGGGAAAAAGGGTACTTGTGAGCTTCGAATAATAAACATATGCTGATATGATTTTCAAATGATAAACTTACTTGCCGGGTTTGTCAATCAGGCCGCCATTTGCTTTCTGGCAACACAGCAATATATATTCTTGCAGCGCTTCGACATCAAAAAGTGTCTTCTCCATGGATTTTTCAGCTCCTATCATTGTGGCCTGCGTTATAGGAATGGTGGCCCCTACCCAAAAAGAGTAGCAACCATCTACTAGTTTATTGGTGCGTCCTTGAAAACCACCCTCATAAATCATTTGACGACGCAGTGTCCACTGCAGGAGAGCTTTCTTATCGCATTTGTCAGCCTGATTGAGCAATGCCAGACTGGCAATGCCACAAAAAGTGTACCCGCCATGTGCTTCCAAGTCGGGCGCTCCACCAAAGCCACCCTCGTAGGTTTGACAGCTAGCAATCCAGTCGGCGGTGCCCTTGAACAGTTCATTCAACACCGGCTCAGGCACATTGGTAAGCTTGGCACAAGAGATTGCACAGTAGGCGCCTCGCACGTCCGTCTCACCGTCTACGTGCAGGCGAAAGGAGCCATCGTCATCGCGCACGCTGAATAGAAACTTAATAAGTGATTCTCGATCGATGGCGCGATATGCGCTCTGTGTGCCAATGATGCATAAGCTGTTAACCGCAGCATAGGTTGGTGCCAGGTGCGCATATTGACCTGGTCCGCCGCCAAAGCCGCCAGTAGGTGTACGACATCTGGAATCATAAGAATGAAAACTTATTTTCGATATCCACGATTAGGGTATTTTTAACATACTTGTTGAGAAATTGCACAACATTGTCCAGAGTCTGTTCGTCAAAGTTGAAGTTCAACAATTGCGCCGACTGTAGTATCCAGTAGATACACCAGGGGCGACTGCTGTCCAAGCATTCATAATTGGATGGCAGTTTACCAAGCATCAAATCCAAATATTGTTGGTGTTGCATGCGATTTAGCTGCGTTGCCCGCGGATTTACGAACTGTGTCTGTACAAATCGATCGTAACATTTTTCAACGGAATCCTCAGTTTTAATCTAGAAAATATAGCAAGGGCTTGTTTGTTATCTGTCGTCGGCAAGAAAATTTGATTACTCACTTGCTCCCTGGATGTTATTGTGGATACCTTCTCGTCGTCGTATTGAAAGTTTTTTAGCTCTGCAAAATTGCGAAAAAAGAGCTCGCCCGATGACCACATGGTTTTGATATCCGAATTGAAAATTAAATTAATATAAATACAAAATTGTGCTACTTGTATCGAATCGGTCTGAATATGTTTGATCGAACGACATACTAAAGTCAACTAAGACGGAACCACTGGTTCGTTCGCTTAAATAAACAACATCATATGTTTCTGCTACACAACATATTTATGTTTTGCAGCTGTTAGCAGCAATAGAAATGAACTCTTTATATGGAAAATATGAAATTATTCTGTAAAGAATACAAGCAGACATATTCCTACCAAATATCACATTATTTCTGCATTTTAATTTTGTAATACAATTAAATTAAATGACTAGTTTGGTTTTGATAACAGAGGTCTAACAGTATCCCAACTTAATTTGAAATCGATAAAAGTTGCTACAGAGTATCGATAAATTACAATTTAAACTAAATGATCTGTTTTATATAGTTTGAAATGAAATTTAAGCTTGTTTTTATCTAATAAGTTATATTTAAATACTAAGTTAAGTTACAAATTGTCAGACATTTATCTTTATTTGTTCGTTTTAGATGATTCCCATGCATTTTAGGATTTTTGCATCGCTCATCGTTTCAGTTACCATTTGCAATACCAAAGCACAGGCAAAGACGATATAGAGTGTGTGCGCTTATCTCCACAGTGTTCGACGAGAAGATGCCCTGTACGCAGCTCTGAATTATTTATGAAAAACTGAAAGGTCAGTTCTATAGCAACATTCTTTTTCTACATTTTTAATATAATAAATATTTCATTATTTAGGTTTTAAAAACAAAACTCATTGGGACATTATTAATTATGGAGAAAATAATAAATATTATCTTATATATTATCTCAGAACAAACGAAAGTGAAAAAGATTATTATTGTATTTAAGATTTCTCGGATATGTACGTCGGTAACATTTTTATGCACAGCTTCATAATGCTCTTTATTGGCGTCTTAATGGGTACGGGGTACAGAAGAAAAGAAACCTGACGACCTCGAAAAGTTGTCGCAAAATACATGTATATGAATTCAAGTCTTATACTTACGGTGCAGAGAGAGAGGCAAAAATTAATGTTTTTCAATAGCAGCCAAAGAGTTTTTGAATAAAAAGTGAAATTACGAGAGAATAAACTGCGTAAGGGGCATCATACATTGCGTGTAGAGTGTATGCAACTTACGAGAGTAACTGAAGCGAATAGCAAAGCAAGTATAAGCTAAAAATCTTACAAATAAAGAAAACAAAAACAAAATCGTAGCATATAAACACGCTCATAAAAGTTTACTTCCAGCCGACTGCGGTTTCAAGCGAAGAAACAACGAGCCGAGCCACAGTTGCGACCACTTCCAATAAGCAAAACGAAAGACTTCAATTCAGTTTGGCGAAGACAACGAACTCGAAAAGAGCTTCACGCGGACAAAAAGTAAAGACCGACTGCTAAAATCACGTCTACGTCTGCGTCTCCCTCTCTCTGTCTCTCTCTTTCTTCTACAAAACGGTACGTGCGCGCATGCGTATGCGTATGCATAACTCTATATACATGCTTATACACAGTATATGTGTATCTGTATCTGTGTAAAGCTGGCTAAAAGTTAAATGCAGCAACAGCAACAACACAACCAACGGCACAGCAAAAGAAATAACGAATAATTGAAAAGAAATGATAAATAAAAATTTGTTTAAAAAAAAGTTGTGAGCCACGCAGGCGTTTCGAGAAAGAAATCATGTATGTGTGCGTGTGTGTTTTAATAAAGTGTTAACTGTGATTAGCTAAACCAAACGCAGGCGCAGAAAAGTGAAATGCAAAGGTCATATGCATACATCAATTTGTTCAAGTGAAAACTAAAGAAAAGTGCTTCAGCTGTCGTCGCAGCATTCCCTTCACATTCTTTCAATTTATACTGGATTAGCTGCAGCTAGGCCAATACAATTTCTCTTAGGCTTTATCATCGTCATCAAACGGTACAATTTGTTATATGTATATGTGAAAGTTTTTATGCGCCAGACACAATGGCCAAAAGCACAATCTCATTCTCATTTATGCTGTTGTAGTAAGATTTATATTTTTCTTTCACTTCTGCTTCTTCGTCTTCGCCTTCTGTTGGCTAACGGGTTTTGTGTAAGACTCTGGCAACACTTTTGCTTTTTTTAAGCTGCATATAAAACGGGCTATTTTGCGATTTAGATTCGGTCTTATTTTTTGCGTTGTCTTGGCACACAAACCCGTTCCACGGTAATAACAACAACACAACAGACAAAATTATTAAAAAGAGACGCAAGCACACACACACCTTAAAAACGAGTTGTTCTATAAATCGAAAGCCATAATTAACAAATGGCTGTTAAATGTGGTTAGATGCTGCGATTAAAGTTGCCATTGGGTGAAATTAGCCAACTGAAATTATTTGAAATAAATGTCATTTGATACAACTTTTACCAATTGACATTTTTCCTGTATGCCACTCAAAATATTTGCACAATTCGAAAGGCCTCAACACCTACGCGAGAGGCAAGCAACAGAGCTGAAGAGTTGCTCGAGTAGCTTTCAGCTGTGCTCTCTTTGCTCTCCTTCTCTCTCTCTTTCCCATGGTTTGCTTTACTCTTTTTGCATTTAAGGGCAGCGACTGCCAAAATATTTGTTTATTTATTTATATCTTGTATACAAGCCTATTTTAAAAAGTAACACAATGACTCAATGAAATAAGCTCTATATTCACATGGTATGCATATATATATTTTTTACCTAAAGTCTTATACTCGGCTCTTCACTCAGTCTTCGTTATAGCTCTTGCAGCCTGAACATGCCTTCTTCCACTTAAAATATCTCCACTTACCTTCAGCTTCATTATGCGCCAATTCACCTTATTTCAATGAGTAAAAAAAAATCCCATAATTTAATACCAGTTTCGAATTAAGTTACGCACTGCGTAAAAACCACAATTTTGGTCAATCTTCTGTGACTCAGAGCTTAACGGACTTTATGTATGTCTATATATCTCTATTGTGTAGAGCTAAAAATCCTTAATGATATTTCAGATTATTGCATTTAAATTCTGTCAAAATTGTGAGCGCAGCTTACGAAGCGTACAAATCTTTGTGACTCACACGTAGTTGGCTGAGGTCTTGAATTTATGTGCATGTGCATAACGGTAATACCTTGGTAAATAATAAGCGACTGGAACTTGACTCAATGAGTTGGCAAAGTAAGCAAGAAAAAAATGAGAAGAAAACAAGCTAAAGAATGTTTAATTGACAGCGGTCGAGTGGATGTTGAGCTGTGAGTAGAATTGGCAGATAAAGCTCGAGTTAGATTTGACTGCACTTTAACTATGCTGAAACCATTGTTGAGATAGGCAGAAATATAAAACTTGGCTTGAGCTCTTCTCAAAGTATGCTTAACTGTTCCCAAATTCAGGCGGAACTATTTTTAAGAAAGGTCGAACTTTGTTGAAAGTATTCTAGAATTAAACTTCAAGTCTCTTCAAGTCTTCAAGTGCCTTGAACTATTCTTGAGCTAATGTGAAATTATATTTGAAATATTTTCGAAGTATGCTGAAACTATGTTCGAACTATGCTTAAATTATTTGTGGAATGTTTTTAAGCTATGCATAAACTACTTTTAGACGGTCTTGAGCTTTGTTATCGAACAACTTCTAAGCTGTTTTGGAACAAGGTTTGAACTATTCCCGACTTCAACTTCAACCTTTTCTTAAGTAAGCTTTAAATATTCTCGAGCTTAGCTTAAACTAATCTGGAATCTTAATTCATGCTTCAACTATTCTTGAACTGTTTAACAACCAGCTTTGTCTAGCTCAATTGATTGAACCCACTTGGCTTGCGTCTAGACCGTTCTGGTCACATTTATTACTGGCCAGTCAGTCATTGTTTGGGCATGTTTTGCGCAATGCCACTTTAAAGTGGCTTGTTGTTCCTGTTGTGCTGCAGCAGAAACTGGTCTGTCTTGTGAGTCGGACAAGTCGGACGCTGTTGCTGCCTGTCCGGCTTGGCGTGGCCGGTTTGGCTAGGTGGGTCGGTCCATTCGTCGGTTCGATTGGTTCATTTTCGATTCCGCTGTTAAATGTAGCAATCAATTCCAACAATTTTCAACAGCCAGCAATAGTTGCAACTAGTGAGTTGTTGCTGTTGCTGTTGCTGTTGTGCCTTGGCTACTAGTATCTTATTCATAGATTGTTTTTATTATAACATTTTTTTGTTTCTGTTTTAGACTTTCACTTTTTCATGCATTCGGTTTTGTGTTGGACTGCCTTCTTGGACACGACACACAGCTGTGTACTCAATGTACTTTGCATGCCGAAATTGTTGCCTAAATTTTTAAATGAATTATTCGTTGAGAGTCATAATGATTCAGCAGGCATTACGTTCACGTTGAATACTTTGTAGGTTCACGCCCACTGTCCAAGATAGAAGATAATTTGAAAAGTCTTATGTTTTTTATATATGTATATGTATAGACATATATAGCATATATCTGTTATAAGAGCAGTCTGTGTGGTATAGTTACCCTGCCTCAAGGCCTGCTCGAAGTTTTTTGCTGTTCTCTGCGCAGAACCGGTCTCTTATCGTAGATATATATAAAAGTTGTTTAGTTTCAATTGTATTTTTTTTAATCCTTTGTTGCTCGACTTTTCTAGCTGTACATTTTTATGGATTATGTGGCATGAATGCATAATGAATGAGCTTTTCGACTGACAATTTCAATCGTTATGTTTGGCACGTTTCTCTTTGCTTATTTACCTTTTCTGGGGGTCAACTAGGGTTACTGACGTGAGCTGCGGTTGTTAAAGGCATAGATTCCTCTACTCAAATTTAATTGATTCTAGCCTAGGCTTTATATAATAGAAAACTTGATTTCTATTTCATATAAATTGACCTAAGCTTGATTATCAGCAAATCCATGCAGCACTCAGCTACCTTCTTTTACAATTCAATCATTTAGCCAATCAAGTCTAACCTTTAGAGAGAATATCAAAGAGAAACATCATAATAAATTATATATAAATATAATTAAATATACTGAAGTTATAATGTTCGACTTGAATCTGCTTTACATCACAATGATCTGTATATATAATTTCTATGGCAACAATTATTTAACCTTACCTAATTAGGCTGCCAG